TTTTGAATGGTAATATTTATCAAAACACACTAGGCGTTTGTCATCACCTCAGGGAACCACAAGTAACCCCCAAGGTGTGTGTCTGTGCGCTGGTATTTTGAGTCACTCAGCACCTTTGGCCCCTCTTTTGTTTACCTCTGTGCCCTGTAGCTTGTTTACTTCCTGTTAGATGAATGGAAGCACAGCCAATCAAACCAGGTCAGAGAGAGAGAGGAACGAGAAGATGTACTCACAGAGGTCCATGAGAAATAGACCGGGCCTGAGAAACTGCCAGCACAGTTTGTTTAGCCTTTTTGAAGTTTCTGGACACTGACTGAGTGCTGCTGCGGGTGGGATTAATGGAGGGTAGACCGACAGTAAAGGAAAGTAAAATGTTGCCATTAAGAAGTGGCTATTCAGGTGGCTACAATTACATTAAAGCACATGACAAGATGAATTTTTAAACGTTTAAATGCATTTATAGTCGGTGCATCACGTAAAGTTGAACTCTGCTTAACCTTGTCATATCCACATCATTGTCTGCCAGTCATGTCACCTCAAATCGCCCTCTCTCATTGAAAACAAATGACTTCCAGTTGCTTTGTCACTGCAAATCGCTGTCAGTGCACGCACCCTAAGAAGTCAGCTGGCTTGGTGGATAGCATTTGGAAATGCAAGAGATTGTAGGGTGTTTTCAGACAGTGGCTGGATGATAAAGTATATGCTTTTGTATATTTCTGAGTGTGTATTTGCTTGTGCGTTTGTGTGTGAGTATGTGAGTATGCGACAGCCCGATCGATCGGTGAAGGATAAGAAGAGACATGCTTCTGTTCCACCTCTCCACACTGATCTTCTTTTTCTCCTCCTCTCAGCACTCTTCAATATTTTTGTCCTCTCCTTTTGCTGAGAATTGTAGCTATCTGGAAGAGACAGCTGGAGGACTATGCCCCACTGATTCCTTACCCACAATCCAATCTGCCCACAGACCACTGAACTCTCTCGTTCTCTGTCTGCCTGGTGATATTATGAAATGAAAATGCTTTTTTCTTGGTAAATTTGGATGAAATGCTTGACCAACATAAAATATTGTAGTACATAGCCTACTTAGACTATGATATTTTAGACAAAAATGCACAATCATCAGCTGATTTTACCTGCAGGACTTCCTCCAACATGATTATATTGCATTGACTTGACAAATAAATAATAAATTTAAAGACTACATGAATATCTATCTATCTATCTATCTATGGCTTATCTGTCTCTATTATATTATTTTTTTATTTATTTTAATTATTAATTGTATTTACTGTTGTTGTGTATTTGTTATTATATTTATTATGTTATTCTTTCCCTAATACCACCAGCCACTCACTACCATTATCATATATAATTAAATGATGTCTAAAGTTTTCAGTCTGAAGAATAACCACAGGGGCCGGTTTCACAAAGCTATTTTAGACCGGTCTATAGTGTTAGACAAGTCTAAAATTTGCCCATTAGACTAGTCTAATGCAAGTTAGACTGTTTCACAAAAATAACGACCGACTTCATTTCGACCCAAAAAATTAGACACCTTACCCCCAGGCTAACTTAGGTCTAAGACTCTATGTTACCTTGGCAACCAGCAGGGGCGTGGTAGCGGGGGGAAAAGGGGTACCGAGTACCCAGGGGGGGGGGGGCCCTTAGAAGTCGCCGAGCTCAAGTCAAAAAGTCCGTCTCCGTCTCCGTTATACTCCTCCAACAAACACATATTTTCCGCTGGGGTAAACTGCACTGAGCAGTTGAATGCGCTTATTCGATCCGCCATGTTTTTTGTTTTGAAAAGTGTCTTATTTTACCCAGAATGCATTGCAGTGTAATCCTAATTATAGTCAGAGTCTTATGTGCTTTGTGCAACAGTCTGATTTAGATGTCTATCTGAAGTCTGACTATCTACTATCTCTAAGCCATAGTCAAAGTCTATCTTTGTGAAACCGGCCCCAGAGACTCACTGCGCCTCTAAAATTCTACAGGAAACCGACAATTGCAAGAAAAAACCCACCACTTTAATGGCATCTGACTTGAAGCAGTGCATGCCGGTTAAAATTTTGTCCGACTTGAGACAGCGCCGACGCCACATCACTGTGATGTATGGCATCAAAGTACCACGAGAACGTTTCAAGCTTCTCCAGAACGGCTGCACAATCTCTGATAATGACACAGCTGTCCCACGATTGGCCAGATTCACCTATGACAACGATCACGTGTGTTTCGTGTTTATTTCGTGTTAACTCTTTTGATGCAACCATAATGTTATATTGTATCATGTTTATCACAATAACATAAGTTAAATAATATAATGTATAGACCCACTTTATTGGTATTGAAATAGTATAGGCTTATGTTGATCTTTATTCTTGTACAGATGGCGCTGTATTAAGCGGTACATGAAAAGTGTTTTTGATGCTTCATGAAAACGTCTGAAACGTCTGTGTATTTGACAAGTATTGCATCTAATCCACTTCATCTGCGATAAAGTACCCAAACACCACGTGAGCGTCTCTACGGGAAGCAGAAACTAGCTGACTTGATGGCTCTGTTTTCAATTCCACCCCGACTGCAAACGGATCAGTCTGAGCAGCGCCGTGTGAAGTCGAACACACCTAACGTCTAATAAACAATACTCAGTGCAGGAGCCATCTTAATATAAGAAGTCATAAGGTTACATCGATCACATGACAAAACAGAAACAAGCCAAACCAAGGTATACCAACAGAACAACATTCATAATACATGAAATAAGCTCGCTACACAAGGTGTGAAGGCTTCAGTCTGAAATATATCAAAAACTGCTAATCAAGCTATTTCATGGGTTATTTCAAGGTAAAAAAGAAGTTAGACATGATGACTGGGAGCCACTTATTAAGGAGTTTCAAATTTCTTTGAGAAAGTCATTCCTTCCTGTATAATTAATTCCTCATTGTTGGGTATGATGCAAAAGTAAGGCAATCATGTACCAAGGGATTTTAAAGAAGATTTCTTTCCTTGAATTAAGGTCATGCTAATTAACCAGGGACTTATAGGGACCGGCAAAATATAGCTAGACAGGCTAATGCAGTGACTGGTGATGTTTTGTTCATGGCCACATGCTATGATCCCCTAAACATTACTGTTTCTGTCTGACTTTGAAGATGAGTAGGCCTTCAGGAATCATTGGAGGTCTCTGTAGAAAATGCGGTAACACTTTAGAATACGGTTCCGTTATTAATGAATAACTACAAAGGAACAAATGAGTTTCACACTATTAACATTCTAGTTACTACTATTAACTATAAATAAACTCTGATTGATAAATTAGTAATAGTGCTCAGTTGAATAAGGTTGTTCACTATTAGCTAAAAGTGAACTACTAACATTACTAGTGGGTTGTCATTACCTTCACTTTAGAATTAATTATACATTATGCATTATTCATTTTAATTATAAAACTGTATATGGTAGTTCTTAGTTGTCATCTGGGAGGAATGAAAAATAGTAGTTATTGATTAGCTGAATTACCACATTCGACTATGCATTATAATTCATTAATCAGTTTCTTGTTAGTTAATCTTAGCTTCCTGTAGTTATTCATTAATGACGGAACTGTATTCTAAAGTTTTACAGAAAATGCATGAAGGCAATAAGACCCATATTATTGCAACAACAAAAAAAGACTTGTCAAGTTGTCACTTTAATGGTGGCTGTACAGGTACAGTGATGATTATTAAAAAACATATTTGTTCAGAGCCCTGAGCATTTCAAAAATAGCTTAAGTAATACTTTATTGACTTTTTTGAAAATCCCTGCAATGCACCAAATGGAGGATGTACCTCTCTGTCTCTCACTCATTTCTTATGATGTTTTCAACCCACTTTAATACTATGAGGCTTAGCCTCAATTTTAACAGAAATGCGTTCTACTACAAATGTGGCATTTCTGATTGAAACGGGACTTTTAATGAGAAAAGAAATGTTGGATGAGATTTAATTTTCTCCATGGGGAACTGATTGGATGGTGAGAAGAACTGCTCTCTATATGACAGGTTGTTTGAGAGGAGTGTCTGTAAAATAAGAAGAGGCAATACAAACTTTACAAAGACAAATATTTTTCTAATTTATTTATTCATTAATTTTTATATGGCCAATTTAGTTACTGTATCGTTCAAATATTACATCACATTGCATTGTTGATATTCTATCTAATTTGTAATGGCTTGTTAAAGACATTTTCCCTCTCTGTGCTGATTCATTGTCTACAGCTGTGGGACTGCAGGCTGTTCCTTCAGCGTTTTGGGATGTTTGCCATCATTGCTTCTTTTGTTTGTGAAGTTGTATCCAGGTGATTTGGTTGTATGCTGGGGGTTATTAGACTATGGTGCAATGGGAATGGAAAAGCTGAACATTCAGAATGTAGAGAGTGATACTACAGCTCATGTCTATACTTCAATGGAGAAAAAACGAAATCTGCAAAATACAATCTGAAAAATTGTGTTTTTTACAGTTGACCTACTATGTGTTAAGATTTCTCCCATTCATTTGTTTTGTACAAGTGGTCTGTCACCTCCCCCTGTACTTTGTCTCTGTTTGTGGATGCATTGCACAGATTGCACATACATTTTAATGTTACAGAGAACTGTTTCCTTCTCTTTTGTCTTTCACATAATTTGAAGATGATTTGTCATTGCTTTTGCTTGTAATCTAAATGTTTAATGCATTATAATGCAAATTTTATCAGCACAGTCATACAAAACTCAGATGCTCCCAGAGGAAACTTTGTGATGTCTGTTTGTATGAAGACAACTAACATTTTCTCTCAAGATTGTGGCACTGGGGGCAGCTGGGGGCTAAGCACTCGATGAAACGGGTTACGCTCATCCACAGTAGGCTCGTTGTTGGTGTTTTTTTCATCTGGATGCTGAATAACATTACGTAACCTGTTCTGACGTGGCGGCACTGAACAAGGCCGAAGCATGCTGACTTTGTTTTCCCCTGTCATTGCAGATCTCGTCATCAGAGTGGCGAAGGATAAATTCGGAGCCATACAATCCGAGTACCAGAAGGTAAGTGCATGTGACTGTGCCTACCTGAACCTCCATGCCATTACGTGTACCTCCGCCACCGCAGTTGAGTTGTGGGGACATTGTCTCAACGCATCTATTATGAAACAATATTTTAATTGAGTATGAAAGCCACGGAGCGAGCTTTGCCCTGTTATGCTCTTATTCTGGAAGAGCTGTTAATTGCTTTTGGCATTATAGCCTGTAGTAAATAGAGGAAGAAACTATTTGTTGCTTTTTAATAACGAAAATGAGTTTAATTAAACAACAGCTCTTGCTTTGAAGTTTCAGCATCCAACTCTTGGGAACAAACAAACATATGGGGCAAACCTTAATGAATCAGTTTCACCAACATTTCCTGTGTTGTTGAGAGGAAATATGATCCCGGAGATGCACAGCCCGATTATAGTGCTCAAAGTGCTTCAATTTACCACATTTATTTCTCAGCAAACAGCCTATATTATATTATATTACAATTATTATATATTATAATGGCTATCATTTAAATGTTTTTATTTTATTTACACTTATATTCAGCAAGGACACATTAAATTGATTTAAAATCACATTTAAGGCTTTTACATTGTTCAAACAATTTCAATTTCATATAAATGCTGTTCTTTTGAATTCATCCAGCGGCACAACTGTTTTCAACATCAATAATATGAAGAAATCAGCATTTTAGAATGATTTCTGGAGGATCATGTGACACTGAAGAATGTGAATGAAGATGTATTTTTTTATATTATTTTATTCATAGGGTTATTCAAGGGTAATCACTTAAAATGTATTATTAATTTGGCCTTAATTTAAATGAGCATGTCTTTACAAATTATTTAGTGACATTGTATAAGGCTGAAGAACGATTATCTCAAAATTGTCAAACATCAGCCAATTAACCTATAATCACACTTCACTTTTCAGTTTTGCTGTTTTGCTCTGTAACACTTAAGAATATGGAAAGCTGGATATGGATGCGACTGTCGGCCAAATACATGATTCACTCAATCCCTGGGACTGTCAAAATGGGTCTGGTTCCCATTACAGATGACAAGTGTTCTTCCTGGTTCTTAAGTGATTTTATTTGCCTTTTATTTGTTTGACTGTTTATTTGATTTGGCTTACCATCTGTTCTGTATTTTTTTTCTATTTTTGCTGTTCTGCATGCCTCATCATCTGGCACCTCCCAGCCAGAAAACATTGTTCTGACGCTACAGGTAATGTGTGTGTCCTGCTAGCCGTGTCAAGGGCCAAACCGGACCCAAGTCTGACTGACCACCCTTATTCCTTAGTTCCTCCTAACCCTTACAGAACCCAGCCCTGTACTCATGCTGTTCACAAGTTTGTTTCAGTGTAACTTTCTGGTCTAATTTTGATTGTGATTGTGTCATCCATAATGCATCATTAGGTAGATTAAAAAATTGTAATAGACATAGTCTCTTGTACATTTTGTCTATTGTAATAGACAAAAATTGTAATAGAGATAGTCTCAATAAGCTCCCTGGCTTCCTAGCTCCTGAATCAGTATATCGTGTACACATATTCCGGCACTGGTAAGGACAGTAAGGACCCTGGCTCACTACACATTGGGACATTGACAACGAAACTGTTGTCATGTCATCATCAATAACACTGCAGGTATTTATGAACAAAAGCAGAACTAATATTTTCTGGCATTTATGTTTTTAATGTTATTTAAAGTACAGGTACAATAGAAAGGAGACAGGAAGTTCGAGAAGGAGGAATTATGACAACAGAGCTGTTTAATATTCCATTTAATGGATAGCAAATGATTAAAACTATTTAATTTATACAAAAAGCACACTAGATTTTGAATATTTCTACTTCAAACTGTATTTAATAATTATGTAATTATTTATGTGTTAAATGTGCAAATATATTTAACATTAATCTGTTATTTTATATTTAACACGACTTATACACTCACCTAAAGGATTATTAGGAACACCTGTTCAATTTCTCATTAATGCAATTATCTAATCAACCAATCACATGGCAGTTGCTTCAATGCATTTAGGGGTGTGGTCCTGGTCAAGACAATCTCCTGAACTTCAAACTGAATGTCAGAATAGGAAAGAAAGGTGATTTAAGCAATTTTGAGCGTGGCATGGTTGTTGGTGCCAGACGGGCCGGTCTGAGTATTTCACAATCTGCTCAGTTACTGGGATTTTCACGCACAACCATTTCTAGGGTTTACAAAGAATGGTGTGAAAAGGGAATAACATCCAGTATGCGGCAGTCCTGTGGGCGAAAATGCCTTGTTGATGCTAGAGGTCAGAGGAGAATGGGCTGACTGATTCAAGCTGATAGAAGAGCAACTTTGACTGAAATAACCACTCGTTACAACCGAGGTATGCAGCAAAGCATTTGTGAAGCCACAACACGCACAACCTTGAGGCGGATGGGCTACAACAGCAGAAGACTCCACCGGGTACCACTCATCTCCACTACAAATAGGAAAAAGAGGCTACAATTTGCAAGAGCTCACCAAAATTGGACCGTTGAAGACTGGAAAAATGTTGCCTGGTCTGATGAGTCTCGATTTCTGTTGAGACATTCAGATGGTAGAGTCAGAATTTGGCGTAAACAGAATGATAACATGGATCCATCATGCCTTGTTACCACTGTGCAGGCTAGTGGTGGTGGTTTAATGGTGTGGGGGATGTTTTCTTGGCACACTTTAGGCCCCTTAGTGCCAATTGGGCATCGTTTAAATCCCACGGCCTACCTGAGCATTGTTTCTGACCATGTCCATCCCTTTATGGCCACCATGTACCCATCCTCTGATGGCTACTTCCAGCAGGATAATGCACCATGTCACAAAGCTCGAATCATTTCAAATTGGTTTCTTGAATATGACAATGAGTTCACTGTACTAAAATGGCCCCCACAGTCACCAGATCTCAACCCAATAGAGCATCTTTGGGATGTGGTGGAACGGGAGCTTCGTGCCCTGGATGTGCATCCCACAAATCTCCATCAACTGCAAGATGCTATCCTATCAATATGGGCCAACATTTCTAAAGAATGCTTTCAGCACCTTGTTGAATCAATGGCATGTAGAATTAAGGCAGTTCTGAAGGCGAAAGGGGGTCAAACACAGTATTAGTATGGTGTTCCTAATAATCCTTTGAGTGTATATTTTTTACAGGAAGTGTTTACGTTGAATTAAATGCCAGATATCGTTTAGTGTGCTAAAAAAAAAACAGGAAAAAACAATAATTCATAATCCCCAAATTAAATACCTCTTAATGTAATCAGTTTTCAGGTTATAATCAGGTTTTTTTCCATTTAAGTTTTTTTTAGGGCTGTCAGCGTTAATGCATTAATCGCGATTAGTTAAAAAAAATCCATAACGCGTTATTTTTTTTAATCGCATTTCAAGGAACGCCTTTTTGTCCCTTTGATTAGCCCGTAGTCAGCCCCTTTGGTTTGTGAAGCGGTAAAAAGTGATGGATAGAAAAAGTACGACCGGATTTTTAAACAGCCTGTTTAACTTTAAAAAAAAAAACAGACGGTTCCGTTGACAACACTAAGGTACAATGCAGCATTTGTTTCAAGGAGTTCAGCTACCATCGGAGCACGTCAAGTCTAAGTTACCACCTCCAGGCGAAACACCCCGGTGTTTCACCTGACGCCTCCCCGCCAAGCCACCCGCAGCCTCGCCAAAGAACTATTCCTGAGTGCGGGCGTCGCAGCAGACCCTTGGATGAAAATAAGTTAACCACAGCGATCGCCAGATGGGTGGCAACTGATTGCAGACCAGTCAACATTGTTGAAGATTCGGGTCTCAGGGATGTAATCAGGTTGGCAAGTTCTGAACCGGCTTACATGTTACCATCGCGGGGAACAATTGTTGCTCGCATAGAGGAGCTTTATGAAGCTGAGAAACAATCTAAAATCAATCTCCTGCGAAATGCAAATGCTGTGGCATTAACCGGGGATCATTGGACGTCAGTAAGAAACCAGAATTATCTTGGAGTTACTGCACACCATATAGACGCTGACTGGAAGTTGCATTCGTTTGCTTTAACGGTTAAACACTCAGAAGAACGGCACTTTGCAGAAACATGTGCCGAACAATTTTCTGAAGTTGCAGAGCAGTGGGAAATTGCGGGGAAGGTGACAACAATTGGCACCGACAGTGCCCGTAATATGACAGCAGCAGCAAGACTCCTGCCATACGAGCACATGCCGTGCGTTGCGCACAGTTTACAGCGATCGATCACAATGTCACTCCGTGACAGTGGTCTTGAGAATGTCTTGGCAAAATGCCGCAAATTGGTTGGACATTTTAAGCATAGTCCAGCAAATGCAGCTGAATTGCGAGCACAACAAGAGAAGTTGGGACAGCCACAGGAGCCCCTCATCCAAGATGTTTCCACCAGGTGGAACTCCACTCTCAGCATGATCACCCGGCTTCTGAGAAACAAGGACCTTGTCAAGGCTACACTTGAACTCCATCAACAAAGAGGCACACCAGCCATGCTGACTAATGCAGAACTGGAGAAGATCGAAAAGCTTGAAACACTCCTTGAACCATGCAGGTAAATATTTTGAATTTGTTTTGTTGAAAATTAAAATGTGACTGATTTATTAGTCTCTCTTTAATCATTTAGTTATTGCTAAAATTAGATGCTGCTGCTTTTGTAGCTTTAAACATTGGTTATATGAATATGAAAAGCACTGTAAGATGAAGAGGAGGAAGGCCTACTACACACATGCTCTAAAAATTTCGTTTTTAGAATTTTATTTCACTGGAGCTTAACTTCATCCTTTTTTTTTTCTTTTTTTTTTTTTTTATTACTGGTCATTGATTGCACTTTATGTTTCTTGGCAGGTATGTGACTGAGCTTTTAGGAGGAGAACAGTACATATCCTGCTCCGTGGTCCTGCCTGCACTGTGTCATTTGTTCCGGTTGATGACTGCTTCTGACGATGATCCAGGTTATGTGCTCCGGTTTAAAGCGGCCTTCACATCTGACCTATCAAAGCGAAAACAAAGCACCAATCTCCAGTGGTTGAAAGTGGCAACAGCGCTTGACCCCAGATTTAAGGATCTGAAATGCCTTCCCAGATCTGAAAGGGAGGAAGTCTGGAAGTTGATTAAAGAGGAGAGTGCCCAGCAACCTGAGCCTCGTAGAGAACCTGAGCCAGGTCCACCTAAAAAGAAGATGCACTTTCTGTTAGCTGCTGCATCAGATTCAGATGACGAAGAAGACCCAGCATCTGACACGTCTGTGGATCGGTACAGAGGTGAGCCCAGCATCTCCATCGATGACTGTCCATTGGAATGGTGGTCTGGACACGCAAGGGCCTACCCAACCTTGGCACCTCTAGCACAAAAATATCTGGCTACACCTGCAACAACGGTACCGTGTGAAAGACTGTTCTCACTCTCTGGTCACATCTTGCAAAAAAAGAGAGCAGCACTGTCCACTGCTAATGTCAACAGACTGGTGTGTATTAGCAATTGGGTTAAAGAAAATAAATAGGAGAGACAACTTAGAACTCAAATAGTTCTGAATCTCATGTCCAATCATGCAATATTTTTCATTTCATCTTACTGTCATTTGGACTTTTTTTTTCATCCATGTGCAGCACAGGTTAATTACAAGGATGACATTCTTCATTTAAAACTAGAAAATGTTACAAATATCCCGCTGTGGCCGTCAATGTTTTAGACTGTTCTGTTTGTCATAACGCGAGTTAGAAATTTCCTACCAGTGTTACATATCACTTGATTGCTGTTATTTCCAGCTAGGAATTGTTTTGCTAATGATGTTATTGTTTATTTTTGAAGTAGCTTATGAGAGTGGCCTGATAAATGTAATCTCTCAAAGTAAGCACTGCGTTACTTTATTCCTCCTAATATTTGGAAGTTGGTCTACATTGCACCTTTTTTTTAATAAAAAAAGGTCAAAAAGGAAATTGTATGTGTTCTTTTGATTCCCAATGAAAACTCTGGTAAGATATACTACATTATGGGCTTAGAACTGCCTTGATATGCAAAATAACAGAATTTTACACGTGCAATTCAAACCGCGATTAATCGCAGTTAACTATGAAGCTTCTGCGATTAATTGCGATTAAAAAAATTAATCGTTTGACAGCCCTAGTTTTTTTATGATGTTAAACTTCATTTAAACTAAGAACCTGCAGGGACTTTTTTCATTCGCACACATGCTCCTAAATACATTCTAAAGTTTGCAAACACCTCTGTTTGGTCGCAAATGCTCGCACTATCGAGCCCTGATGCCTCCATTATTTATGATAAAGACTCCTAATCTATAAAAAAGCAGCATATTATAACATTTTTCTTCTAAGATGCTGCAAGTTGAATTCAATTTATCTTTAACGTGGCTGCTGCAGACAAGAGGCATTGGATCCAAGAGCAGCAAACATTTATTGAAACAGGACAACTGAAATAACTCTAGACAAGGAACGAGATAAATCCAGCAAGCACATGAACAAGAAGTTACAACAAACGCACACGATACAACTGTATATTGGCAACGCTAGACAGGGAACAAAAGAAACACTGTGGTATATATACACAAAGGGAAAACAAGGTTAACAAAATAACAGTGGCTAATTGTCATGGGTACACACAAGGGTAACTAAGGGAACTAACAACCCACACCTGGGGAGAACTACAACACATGGCACAAGACCGGAAATAACACAAACGTCCTCACTCAAGAGTCAAGACAGGGGAACACACTCAACACAGGCTGGGATCATGACATTATTGATTGCCTTAGAACCACATATCTATGCTCTAACTGCTACACCTCAGCTCGAAATCAACATTACACACTTTTAATACAGTTTTAAAATGGGGAATAATTGAACTATATAATTGAATTGAATTGAATTCATTGAACTTTTTTCTTGGCCATCCTATATTAAAATCACAGGTATTTAATGTCTCTTTCATCTCTGTAATTGGTAAGATAATCACAGATACACAGACATTTCCTCATGTGCTGTCGGCAGTTTTTAGCTCAGCTATAACCCAGTGAGGTGTGCGGCTGCGCTAACAGGGAGGATGACATCCATAGATGAGCCAGTCTGAAGCTTGAATATGCTGATACTAGAGAAGCTCAGCAGAGGGTCAGTGAGACTCAGAGTAGAACGGTCAGTAACCTCATACCCTATAGGTGTGAATTCCCCCTTGATAGTCTTAGCTGCTAAGCTTTTGTGTAATTTACAGCGAGACTTTCAGTTCTTACCCACATAGGCATGATGGGAAATGAGCTTTTAAAACCACTTTTAGAGAATTTTAAATATGAAAAGGCTCTACCCTTGAGGAGAAGCAAGGGTTCTTGGTGACAGACAAAGCCTCTGGTTTATTCAGCGGATTAAGCTTATCCGCAGACTGGCCTGAGGAGAGCCCTGCTCATTCAGAAGTGTCCATAATGCCTCGGGACGTGCAAACGGATTCAATGGCAGCATATGGATAAAATGTTTAACATTATACCATCATGTTACATACAGTATGGAAATTTTGCATGGTTTAATTTCCCTCATTTGAAATGCAGTTACCTTGGAAGGCTTTTGAGACGAGGATATTTGCTTCACTTGGAAAAAAGCTTCCTCTAGCAAATGCTTTGCTTGTCTTTTTTTTTAAATGATGAACCGTGAAAATATTTTGTATCTTAGATATATGTTGATCTTCCTTTTAAAATACAGTTTAACATAATTATAATAATAACAATAACATTATAATATAATAATATGTCTCCATATGAAATACTCATTTAGTGTAATTGTAGTTCTAAAACATAGGCTACACACATGACACTCTTTGCTTCCTTTTAGTAGTGGATGAACTAATCCGAAAATTTAAACCTATATAACTTAGATGGCTTCCTGGATGCAAATCAAGACTTAACTGAGATTTATTTTCCTGACATTCATTGTGGATCAGGCTTATACTGCATTGAGGAAACTATCTCAAATATTAACTCAATTTGTTTGCATTTATTAAACATTTAAGAAATTCTAATCTGTGAAACTTTGTGTTGTGTGCAGGTGATTTATTATGAGATTGGTTTTGTGGTGTGTGCGGCACTGGGCCTGCTGTTCACCGTGCTGCTGCCGCTGGTGGGGCTTCTCTTTTGTTTGTGCCGCTGCTGTGATAACTGTGGAGGAGAGATGCACCAGAGACAGCGGAAGAACGCAGACTGCCTTAGAGGACTGCTGACCACACTGTTACTCACAACCACCTTCATTATCACGTAAGTTTTTTGCGTTTGTCTGAATGCGCAGGTGCGATTGCATCCCTAACCTTTAACACGGTAAGTTTCCATTTCAAAACCTAGTGTGATGCCTACATAGGCAGTATTTTAAGGTCTCATATGCACAAAAAGGCAAAGGATGTTCCAAAAGGTCTGTCTACCAAGATGCCTTCTTTTGAGCAGATTCGTATTCAAGTCATCACATACTGTATATAATTTTGGTGGAATGTTAAATGCTTTCAACAAGCTAAATGAAAAATAAAAACGATTACCATTTAAGATGGTAATTTAAATTAATTAAATTTAGATGTGCTGATTGTAAATATAATTAAGTAAATGGCAACAATATTAAAATGTTAATTTAAAAAAATATTTAAGGTGACGTAGTTGCATTGTACTTACTCAAACTCACTGTTATTACAATAGTAAGTACATGTAGTAACGTGTAACTGCATCAACGTAAAATAAAGTGTTGCCAATTTTTAGAGTGTCATATTCTTAATTTAGCAACATGCTAACATCAAGCTCTATTGAAATCAATTATGTCTCTAATTGTGCAAACCTTACAAATTGGTCATGTAGGTGCCACTTAAAAGGCAGCAAACTATGTATGCAGTAGACAGCAAAGGCAGCTCAGTACTTTTGGAACACAGCCTAAAGGTCCTTGCACACCAAGTCCGAAATTTTCGTATGCGTTTTTATTTATTCGTCATTCGGTAGCTCTGAATTGTCAAAACACCTCTCAAAATGCTTGCTACGAATGCGAAAAACACAGAAAATCGAACCCGATCCAAAAAACAATAATTTTTGGACAGACTAAAGTTTCGGAGGCAGTGTGTAAACGTGATTGACACAACGTGAGGTCGTGTTTATTTTTGAACGTGTGAAAATTTTGGACTCGGTGTGCAAGGACCTTAAATCATCAAGAGCAAATTCAAAAGCTGATAAGTTCAATCAAAGACCTCAGCATGGATACTTTTGAGCTTGCAGTTAATCTCCCTGTCCTAAAGTCGCCATGTTCCCAAAAGCATATTGTAGACGAGTGTACACTACAGAAAGAAATACAGCAGGATCGCACAATAGCGGGAACTCCAGGATAGCAACGGCACACTGAATAGAGTGTTTGATGTGCCTCTGCTTTATGGATTCAGCTGGCTGGCTCTTTATTAAAGATTCCATAGCACATGCCTGGCTGCCTGGAGATGGGCTTGTCTCCTCATGCAAAAACCTCCCGGGATTTCAACCTTCATGATTCTGATCAAGCCATAACTGGGGCTACTTTACACACTGCTCTCTTTAGGGTCAATCTTGTTTAAAGGAAAGACAGGCGCCACCCAGTCTCTTTGTAGGAAGTTTAACTGAAAATCAGATATTATGTGATCATCCTAAAAGGACTCTCAAAGAGAGATTATGGAAATGTTCTTGAGTATGAAGCATCTCCAGGGGTGTAGGTTATGAATACGAATAGTGTTTGTCTTAGTAACGGGGTGAAACCTGGAGTTTTGTTGACCCGTCTTGTCCAAGAAATTTTATTGTAATTGCTTGATGAACTCGGGCCGCTTTCTGAGGACTCTGCGGTTTTCTTTTGAAACATTGGGCGTAATGTAGGCTTGATGAATAATTAAAGAAGTGACCCAATTATGACAAGAAAATTCATCATTAGTGCCATCTTACTTTTAAGTAAGCATTTCTTAGGGACACTGTCAGCCAAGTCATGCACACAATGGTGTGTGTGATGGTCAGGCAAAATAACAGCTTTAGGCATCTATTACTTGTATTTTTAGTAATTTACTTTACGGTTTTCTAGACTTTTTGTATCCCTGACATCCGTGACTATCTGTTTGTTTTATGCTTAAAATGCATGATTCAGATGGCTGCAAGTAGTGAAAGATAATTTGATGTCATTTGTGTAACTAATTCGTAAAGCTGGTAAGATTTTTTTTTCATGTTTCTGAAAGAAGTTTCTTATGCTCACCAAAAATACAGTAAGAACAGTAATATTGTCGTGACTTCAAAATATTGTCAGTAATATTGTCACTATTAATGATAATACATCATTACTTCATTCTTCAGTGTCACTTGATTCTTCAGAAATCCTTCTAATATGCTGATTTGCTGCTCAAGAAACATTTCTTGTTATTATCAATGTTGAAAACAGTTGTGCTGCTGGATATTTTTGTCGAAACTGACACATTTTTTAGAAAGTACAAAAGAATAACATTTATTTGAAATGGAAATTAATTAACATTGTAAATGTCTTTACTGTTCCTTTTGATAAATTGAATGTGTCCCTTCTGAATACGTATTTCTTCAAAAAAATATTACTGACTCAAACCTTTTGAATGGTAGTGTATATAAAACATATATTACATGTTTTCTTACTACGTCTTACTATGTATACGGCATGTGCCATTATGTTAAAAATAGATGCTATTGCCGTTATTTACAAATGACCGCTCGTATAAATGTGTGTCCTCGTTCTGAGGAAGCTGCTCTTTAAAACATAATGATACACTTTGATGCTTTTGCAGGCCGTTTTTATTATATATTTATTTAATTCCGTATGTGCATTTCTTTTTAAACAGTCCTAAATCAAAGTAGTAGTTTAACAAAACATGGATCATAAATTTTGCATTGACATGGATAAGACATCAGGGTTTACATACATTTAAATTGGCAGATTCATTCATTAAATTAATAATCTTTAACCGTGGTCCTATATGTAAAGTCGCACACACATATTCACAGAGAGGAACATTTCATTGCTAATAGCTTGAATTTTAAAGCCTATGAGACTTAATGGATCAACTTTTTCCTCAGATGTTTCCTGAAATTCCTTAGGGGAATTAAAAATAGACACAAATGAGAATTGCTGATGGAAAGTAGGGGCTCTAAAGCTCAAATTATTGTTCTTTGGAACAATTAGATGAGAAATATTTGATTTTGACATTGAAATCTCTTGGTTTTGAAGATACACAGTTGGAGGCTGTGTCTAGGGAAGACATACAGGTCCTTCTCAAAAAATTAGCATATTATATTATTTTCCATAATGTAATGATAAAAATTAAACTTTCATATATTTTAGATTCATTGCACACCAACTGAATTATTTCAGGTCTTTTATTGTTTTAATACTGATGATTTTGGCATACACCTCATGAAAACCCAAAATTCCTGTCTAAAAAAATTAGCATATCATGAAAAGGGTCTCTAAACGAGCTATTAACCTAATCATCTGAATCAACTAATTAACTCTAAACACCTGCAAAAGATTCCTGAGGCTTTTAAAAACTCCCAGCCTGTTTCATTACTCAAAACCCCAATCATGGGTAAGACTGCCGACCTGACTGCTGTCCAGAAGGCCATCATTGACACCCTCAAGCAAGAGGGTAAGACAGAAAGAAATTTCTGAACAAATAGGCTGTTCCCAGAGTGCTGTATCAAGGCACCTCAGTGGGAAGTCTGTGGGAAGGAAAAAGTGTGGCAAAAAACGCTGCACAACGAGAAGAGGTGACCGGACCCTGAGGAAGATTGTGGAGAAGGACCGATTCCAGACCTTGGGGGACCTGCGGAAGCAGTGGACTGAGTCTGGAGTAGAAACATCCAGAGCCACCGTGCACAGGCGTGTGCAGGAAATGGGCTACAGGTGCCGCATTCCCCAGGTCAAGCCACTTTTGAACCAGAAACAGCGGCAGAAGCGCCTGACCTGGGCTACAGAGAAGCAGCACTGGACTGTTGATCAGTTTTGCATGTCATTCAGAAATCAAGGTGCCAGAGTCTGGAGGAAGACTGGGGAGAAGGAAATGCCAAAATGCCTGAAGTCCAGTGTCAAGTACCCAAAGTCAGTGATGGTCTGGGGTGCCATGTCAGCTGCTGGTGTTGGTGCACTGTGTTTTATCAAGGGCAGGGTCAATGCAGCTAGCTCTCAGGAGATTTTGGAGCACTTCGTGCTTCCATCTGCTGAAAAGCTTTATGGAGATGATTTCATTTTTCAGCACGACCTGGCACCTGCTCACAGTGCCAAAACCACTGGTAAATGGTTTACTGACCATGGTATTACTGTGCTCAATTGGCCTGCCAACTCTCCTGACCTGAACCCCATAGAGAATCTGTGGGATATTGTGAAGAGAAAGTTGAGAGACGCAAGACCCAACACTCTGGATGAGCTTAAGGCCGCTATCGAAGCATCCTGGGCCTCCATAACACCTCAGCAGTGCCACAGGCTGATTGCCTCCATGCCACCCCGCATTGAAGCAGTCATTTCTGCAAAAGGATTCCCGACCAAGTATTGACTATTGAGTGCATAACTGAACATAATTATTTGAAGGTTGACTTTTTTTTTTGTGTGTTAATACACAAAAAAAAAAAAGTCAACCTTCAAATAATTATGTTCAGTATTCACTTCTTTTATTGGTCGGATGAAATATGCTAATTTTTTGAGACAGGAATTTTGGGTTTTCATGAGCTGTATGCCAAAATCATCAGTATTAAAACAATAAAAGACCTGAAATATTTCAGTTGGTGTGCAATGAATCTAAAATATATGAAAGTTTAATTTTTATCATTACATTATGGAAAATAATTAACTTTATCACAATATGCTAATTTTTTTAGAAGGACCTGTATGTAAGCTCACTGCGGGACAATCTGAAGCAAATATTTCCATTTGCTCTCAGTTTAATCTCGTTGCTATCTAGTTGAAACCATTGAGATATTAAAGTGGTCTAATTTGTGATTTGTCATTGCTGTGTGGCGCTCTATGCGTGAGGGACTCTCTCGGCTGACTGTTTCTTAGCTGTGATTGGATGTAGAGCAGAAACCCGGCTGCTACTCAGAAGGAGTGTTATGCTCAGGGCACTGGAGGTCACCGGGGCCACTGCTCCTCTGCCAACCCCGGGGCTCAGCTTGCAGAGACGGCCTGTCAAATTCAATACAGTAGAGCCTGCGAACCCACATGACATCCATAGTGCAGCTGGGCTGTGCAATACTCACACATTCATTCATTAAACCACCCACGTTTAATCATAGAAAAGCTACATTTACACAGTATTTGTGCTGTTAAATGTCAGTTTAGCCTGTTTTTGATTCGTTCATCCTTGAAATGTTATAATGCTTGGATAGATCTTGATTCAGTCTTGGTAATTAATCGTTGTAGGCACATATGTGTAAGTGCTTGTATTTTTACATTTTTGTTTAGCATGTGTGTGTGATCAGAGACAGTTAGCATGAGCGTCCACCTTTTCAGCCTTAATTAGACTCTGCAGTGTTCTCAGTTCAGTGTTCGGTATCGTCTACATTTCTCCTGCGTTTTCTGTGTTTGCATCTCTAACGATCTATATTAAAGACTCCCTTGAGTATTTTCCTGTTCGTGCGTATTGTTTACCACACCAGCCGTAGCATACAGTAGTTGAGCAATGGAGATAACTACAGATTTTAAGCTGTCAGCACAATATACTGCAAAATCTTAACATACGTATATAAACACATGACTGCAAAGTTGAGTGTTGGGGAGTCTGATTTCATGACATCATTCTCAGTTTCTATAGTAACAGCGACTACTCTGATTGGTGGACCTCTCTTCAGGATTTTGACTACTGTGATACTTCAGTTAGAATTGGGAAATTGAAATCACACTGACTTATTGTGAGGTCCTCGAACAGTTTGGAGTTATGAAAGGGGTCCTTGGTGTAAATACATTTTAGAAACCCTGATTTAAGGTGACTAGTGCCTGAGGATTGTCTATATCTGGTTAGCAATATGTGTGAATGTGTTTGCGTAAGAAAGAAACCATGGTTATGGTGACAATATGTCCTGATGTGACTGTGTGTGTGTGTGTAGTACAGCTCTCCTTGGCACATAGCTGTACAGTTGACTTTCATCAGTGTATTTACAGGGTTGTGATTGCGTTATAAAGCAGCCTTTAAATAGATACATCATCAGATATTACCGTCATCAGTCCACCGAATACAAATAAAAATCAGTCGTTGTCGAGAGTTTCTTCTGTCAGTTATGATCATGAATAATGAGTATTTTAGCTGTAATATTCAGCTCAAAGAAAACGCCCACAGTATTTTGGTAGCACAGAATGGAGAGAGAATGCTTTTGTTTGTGTGGTTAATCATGTGTCCTCCTTCTGTCCTACACTTGAATGGAAAAGAGAAATGATTGTCTCACACTTCAATTACCCGCCAGATCTGGCCTACTTTCACTGCACATATGGGGCTTGCCACTTCCATTTCCACAAACATATTCAATTTAAAACTTGTGGAAACCTTTAAATGAACTTCAATTTCCTGTGGAATAATACATCTGAAGTCTAATTTTAAAAAAAAAATGCTTTTTTATTAATCTTCTGGCCAAAAGTTTGGACTCATTTTATATTATAATAGCAGTCATCAACAATACAATATAATATGTTTTTGCTTTGTTAATTCATTTCCATTCTATAAATTGACCAAAATTGAATGAACAAATCAAACCCATCTTACATTTTAGCGTCTTCAAAGTCCTCAGGTGCATCCGGAAATGCTTTTTAACTACTTAGAGGTTGACATGTATGCTGGACACACTTGTTGCCTGTTTATCGAGTGCAATTCAATCCATTTGTTTAACTGAAATAACATACAGTAATATAAATTCTGTCAAAGGTGTCCAAACTTTTGATTGGTACTAGTGCATATGTTTCATTTAGCAGTCATGGTATTCAGTACATTGAAAAGTAGTTAAAAACATCCTTTCCATCCAGCCTTACAAAATAAACGTCTGACCCTCATTTTCCAGTCGACAGTGGCTGTCTTTGTCTGGGTCAGTAGCTTGGTGGTGTCGTTGTGGTGGGCCGATCGCATTACAGGTCTGTCGAGCACTGAGGAACCAACAGGTAGACCTGGAACGCCTTCACGGCAGGGCGAAATTAAACCCGGTGGGTCATCTTCTGTTTAAAGAGGCAGTCAAGGAGGTTCTCACCCCCACCCTGCTCCTCAACCCCCCTTAAGAGGCATTTATAGACAGGGACGCTGTGGGACCTGCCCCAGGGTCCAGTCTGGATGAATACAGCGATCATTGTGGAAGTAACGCGATTCCTGCCTCCATTAGTCTATGGAGACATTCTTCAGTGCACTGAACCAACCCAAGTTATAAAGCCTATTTTCAACATGGTGCCAAAGTGAGCTCAGAGCCATCTTTAAAGGAAAGATTTAATGAGGAATATGTATTGGTGAAATATCATACAGGTGGAGTTAAGCACACAATAGTTTAAAAACTATTTAAACTAACTTTTTTGGTACTGTCTATCTGTACCTCAGATATCTTATCTAAGTGACTTGTTGTCACTTGTTGTCGACACATGTAGGTATGTATGGTATGTATGTATATTATTTTATATTTAAAAAATTAATATTTTTCATTTATTGATTTTTTTTTTTTTTTTTTTACCAGAAATGTAGATCCAAAGTTGCTTGTTAAAAAGCAAACTTCTCTTTGCTGGTTCATATGAGGTTCCCTGCAGAGTTTTAGGCCATCTCATTGCCCTCTGTGTGGAATGCATTTCGCCATCTTCAAAGCCTCTTTGTTCATTGCCTGCTATGTTTTCCCTGACCTTACAGAACAGAGCAGATAGCAGCTTACCAACACACAGTGAAGACAGAGAGAGGAGGACATGGGGAATAAGGGGGTGAGAAAGAGGAAAACAATGGTGCTTTGTAGCCAGCCACCCATTTTGATTCTCTATCAGTCTGTGGTCTGTTTCCCGCCCTGAGACCATTCTGCAATCCCCCCTATCTGCATACAAAGCACAACATTTCATCACATGTGAGTGATTTCACATCTTAAAATTTGGCCAGTTTGCTTATTGCTCTAATGAAATTCCTCGGTTGTGTGTCTATTGATGTCAAGTCAAGTCACATTTATTTATATAGCGCTTTTTACAATACAGATTGTTTCAAAGAAGCTTTACAGAGATAACAGGAAAATAATGCAAAAAAGTTTGTTTCCAGAAGAAAATAGCGTCATAGTCAACTTACTTAAGTAAGTTCAGTGATGTTTCATTTTTGTTGTAAAAGAGTTATTAATTTAGTTCATTTACATATATAGCCGCTGTGGAGAAAACCGTGATGTCATCGTCCAGCTCAGTTCAGTTCTTGTATAATAGTGTCAATGCAGGCAGATCAATATTATTGTTGAATATTAAATTAAATGTTAAATTTGATGTCGCCTTCTAAGCAATGTAATACTAAGAATGTATTTAAATTGCAAATCAATAAAAACTCATAAAAGCAACGACCTAAAAAATGGGTAGCATTATACAATCTTTTCTTTTGTATACAATTTCTTTACAAAACAAGAATGACACTCTATTTAAAATTCACTGCAGTATATGTTACATGGTCCATGTTTAAAGTTACAGTACAAAATTATTCCCATGTTGCGAAATAATTTAATGATATTTTGTAGTGAAATTGATAAACTAATACCTGTGTAGGTGTTCAACTACATCTAATTGTTTTCTAATTGTTTTAGATTTCAGAATATGTTTAAATATGGTATTACTGTAGTTTTTTTGTTTAGTTTAGCCTTAGAGTTTTGAAAAGAGTATGTAAACACGTGCAAATTAGCCTGTAGGTAAATAGCGTTTTTGCTGTGTTTGTGTCTAAGTGAGAAAAGAACGTCATATGTCATTTGAAATATGTAATCATTCAATGCATTTCGTGTCAAAGTAGTGATAAATGATCCACAGTTTAGCCCACATAGACTGCTGTTGTGATCACTGTGTGAAGAGTTTTGAAAAAGTGACCTAAGGAGTAAATCAGGAGTGTGTTGAAGCATTGATACTCTTCATGTGCAGCAGCAGCACCCACAGACTCATCTTTGTATGGTGCATACATTTATGCACAAATCCAAAAGAGTGATTCACACATTTTGATGCAACATGATAAAAAGCCTTCCTGTTTGCGCTATTGTTGCATAAGTCAATCATGGCTTTTGTCCCAGACTGCAGTGAAAGCCTAGCATGATAGAAGACGGTGCTGCCAATGTTCAGCTGCTCCCACAGTAGCCATGAGCGCACCAAATGAAGAAAGACCCATTAGGATGTGTGAATCATGAATAGGTACTAATAGAGGGCTGTTTTTTCCTTGAAGTGTCTCTCAGTCTAATTAAGGAGAGCTCACAGTCACCCTTGTTTGTTTGAAATGCTTTGCCAACTGTGTCAGACGAAGGTTCCTCTGGATTTATTCACCGAGTTGCATAACAAAAGTGCTGTCTTCCTGAATAGACCTGCAGCAGTATGATGTTGCCTCGCAGTTCTCAATAAAACTATGCAAGAGTAAGAGAACATTCCCAAAGCGAGGCAATTAAAGTATCCTAACGGAAGTATCCTCACCCAGCTGTGAGGAATATGCATTTTGTAATTGTGCTGTAGTGCTGCCCCCTTCTGGCACTCCGGAGAGTAGCTTTTGGTTACGGCCATAGACAACTATTCACATTGAGGGGAACATGTTCTTTTACATATTATGGTCCCATTTTTCCTTTTCTGGCCTGATATAATTTGTGTTGTTTATTCATTAGGGCAGGGGTCCTTTGTGCATATGCAGCCAATCAGAACCTGAGTTCTCAGCTGAAGAGCGTGAGGAGGCTGGTGAAGAGTAACCTAAGAGACCTGCACACCTTCGCCAATCAGACCCCTGCAGTGAGTAATACAACCATAACCAACATACACTATTATACTGTGATAGATAGACGGATGGATGGATTGATTGATTGATTGATTGATTGATGGATAGATGGATAGACAGATAGATGGATGGATGGATGGATAAATTGATGATGGATGGATAGACAGACAGATAGATTGATTGATCAATAAATTGATGATGGATGGATGGATGGATAGATGGATAGACAGATGGATAGACAGATGGATGATGGATGGATGGATAAATTGATGGATGGATGACAGACAGATAGATAGATTGATTGATCGATAAATTGATGATGGATGGATGGATGGATGGATGGATAGGTGGATGGATGGATGGATGGATGGATGGATGGATGGATGGATGGATGGATGGATGGATGGATGGATGGATGGATGGATGGATGGATGGATGGATGGATGGATAGATAGATAGATGGTTAACTGGTTGCTTGAAACAATGGTCAACTGAACAGTTCAGAGATCATTATATGTGCATTTTTGACTGCATAATGCTGCTATTGACCGAAAGTATTCTTTTAGTAGATGTTTTAGAATTGGTGAGTGATGACTTGACAGCTAAATATATTGATGTGTTAATGTCTTCCACAGCAAATTGATTACCTGATCTCTCAGTATGGCACCGTGAAGCACCATGTGCTGTATGACCTGGAGAGTAAGTTTGCTACAGGTCCTCTTTAGAGGAATAGAAGGTGTTGCTGATGTGAGGACTGATGTTGTGGTGTGTCTTCAGATGTAGGTCTTCTCTTGGGTGGAAGGATACATGAGGAGTTGGGAAAAGACGTGCAGCCCTCCCTCGACGCTGCTCTCAGCATGACTGGAAGTATGTCACTCGCTTTTGTTTTTTCTTTCTTCTCTTGTTTTCACCTTTTCTGGGAAAACTGTATATTGTAATATATCATATATCAAATGAGAATATAATGTTGATATACAATACGTTGGTTTTGGTAGTGTCTTATTTCACTGTTTTGTCTTTGATTTGTTAGTCAAAGTGGAGAAAGCCATTAAAGGTAAAGTGGTAATACACCCTGACTGGTCCTTCCCGTGACCTTCTATCTGTAACAAAGTTGTGATTGACTCCTTTTTCTTTCCCAACAAAACCTGGCCCAGTTATTTTCCCATGTGTATTGTTGTATCCTTCCTTGGTGGAACCTGCCCATCCCGTGTCTTAAAACCAAGATATCTGAACGGTTATGAAATACATTGACAGATGCAAAGCCAACAATGTCATCTCACCTCAATGGATAATATTTATTATAGCATTATTAAAGGGGACATATCATGAAAATCTGACTTTTTTTCCGCGTTTAAGTGCAATAATCGGGTCCCCGGTGCTTCTACCAACCCAGAAAGCTTGAAAAGTGACAACCCAGTAACTTTGTTTTTGTAAGCCTTTCTCTGCAAGCATGTCAAAAAATAAGCCGATCATATTTAGCTCCCCTTCTGACGTAAGGGGATCTTATTATAATATTACCACCGGTTAAACCACACGTTTTCACCCACGGAGCCGCCGTTCAGTGTAACCACTTCAAACGCAATGGCGAAAGTTCGAGCAAAGCATGCAAACTGTTCTGTCGTTGCTGCACAGACGAGCACAGAACACTATATGACCAAAAAATGTCACAGCTGTCTTATAAAGACCTCAGGGAACTGTCAACTTGTGTAAAAGTTAAACATGATGTACATGCAAGTCGATGAGATTCATCAATGTAACTCCACAACAACTATGTACATAAATGTATTCACTAACCATTCAGAAACGTCCAGGTGCGTCTAAAAGTTGCAACCTCTTCATGAGTGTCTCCGTAAGGCTGCACTCCGCTACTGGTTATTTCTGAGATTTTGGATGAGTGAGATTCGCGTGTTTTGTTATTTCCGGAGTATCTGAAGCTCGTGTTAAAGTCCCCATGAATTCAAAATTGACCATACTTACTTTGTTTGCCTAAATTGATCGTTTTGTGGTGAACAATTCATCCATGCAAGTCAATCCACACAAAAAAAATTTTTGGCTTCGTAATCTTTAATCAAAATCTGAAATTTCCCCTCCCCTCTGCGTTGGAGGACCTTGCCTGATGACGTAGGTTTCACGGTTTGGGCGTCTTCTTAACATCCGTAATCACGCCCCTCCAACTGACAGTAGACAGGCTGAATGAAAACACCTACTTTTCTAGATCCAATCAGGTGCTATTTGGGGAAAAAGCCACGCCCACCATTTTGCCTCATTTAGTATTCCGTTTCTCTCGGAAATACGTCACAACACTGGAGAAAAGTCGTTTGCAACTTCCGGTTCACGGGGACTTTAAGGATTGGCCGTCTTCTGAACAGAGGTCGGGGACAAGCAGCTCATTTGCATTTAAAGGGACATACACAAACGGCACGTTTTTGCTTACACCCAAAAAGAGGCAAATTTGGCAAGCTATAATAAATTATCTGTGGGGTATTTTCATTTTTGAGCTGAAAATTCACAGACACATTCTGGGGACACCATTACATCTTGTGAAAAGGGGCATAATGTCACATTTAAATCAAAGAAGCATGTGTGGATTTTGTGTCCAAAATCTTCTGAATTATTTGTGCCTTGGTTACTGAGCAGTCTCTATTTTGAATGTTCATTTGTGTTTCTTTGCTCATTTGTTCCCTCTCTTAGCAATGCGAGACACCAAGGATGCTCTAGAGAATGTGAATTTGACCTTGGAGACTTTGCAGGAAGGAACGGTCAAACTGCAGGCTAACCTCAGCCTGGTGCGCGGCAGCCTTAGCAACGTCCTGAACGATCCTCTCTGCAAAGATGTGCGCTCGTCGGAGATTTGTCGCAACATACTTATCACCCTTCCCAGGCTAGAAATTGCAGCCAACTACTCATCGGTATGAAAATGATTTCTCATCTTTTTTTCCTACGTAGTGTTACCACAGTGGTTGACAGAAGTTTTTTTAAAGTAGAAAATAAGCAGAAAACCAAAACGCATGGCTGTTTTTTGTTGATTTTAGTTGCCTGATGTGACCGAACAGTTAGACAAAGTGAACGAAGTTCTGAAGACGGATCTCAGCCAGATTGTGGAAAAGGTACTTTTATCCAGTTTTCACATGAGGTGTTTGCATAGATTCAGGACAGAAAGTATTATATTTCAGAGTACAATAGGATATTCAACAAGAGACAAAAATTTAATTTTATCCAAAAGTTTGGGGTCAGTATTTTTTTTTTTTTAAAGCTGCAGTCCGTAGCTTTTTTTGGGTAAAAAATTATCCAAAATACATATTTGAGAAAATACATAACCAGCCAGTGTTCAAAACTATCTGCTTGCCTTAGCTCGATTCAAAGCGGTACGCTTGTAATAATGTTTTTAATTCCAGTGGTACTGGTGGATTTCCGCGGGAGATTCGAGCATGTCTTTGCGTCATTACGTCACATCTGTACACATAAAGAAGGAGTCTCAGCTAGTAGGCTATATTGAGTCATTACGTCACATCTGTACACATAAAGAAGGTTCTCGGCTAGTAGGCTATATTGAATCATTACGTCACATCTGTACACATAAAGAAGGTTCTCGGCTAGTAGGCTATATTGAGTCATTACGTCACATCTGTACACATAAAGAAGGTTCTCGGCTAGTAGGCTATATTGAGTCATTACGTCACATCTGTACACATAAAGAAGGAGTCTCGGCTAGTAGGCTATATTGAATCATTACGTCACATCTGTACACATAAAGAAGGAGTCTCAGCTAATAGGCTATATTGAATCATTACGTCACATCTGCACACATAAAGAAGGTTCTCGGCTAGTAGGCTATATTGCGTGTGAGGATGTTGGAGGTGGAGATTTATAGCCTTTTCTCACAGCACTTGATATAATTAAACTTATCAATTTGATGGCGGATCCAGAAAGGTTCAAACGACAATCACCAGTGACAACATATTCACCCGCTGTAAAATGCAAAAGACTTCGTTCGGACTTTGGAGTGGCTACAGAAAAAAAGAGACTGCAACCGACCCATGAGAAAACAAGGACACATATTGGAAGGACATTACATGTAGTCACGCAATGCTGACGTTGTTAACATTAACAATTTGAGAACAAAGTATAATTTGCACGGTTTTGCGTGATATGATAAGCGATTTTTAGATTTAATCAGCGCGATTTACTGCAATGTCAGAACCAGAACAAAGGTGGATGTTTCTTACTTGTTCAGATGACATTTTCCGGTGAAAATTCTTATGTTGGTCATACTTCCAAAAAGAATAATCTGTGATTCTGAATGCCAGTATCCACATCGGCGCGGTGATCGACAGCCTCACACTCTCCTCAAACATTGTGTTCATCCGCACTGTGCCGTGTCGAAGCACAACTCACGTAAAGTTGATAAATCCGCGAATGACTGCAATTGCAGATTTCGAACAGAGATGGCGACAAACAGGAAAAACTACGGACTGCAGCTTTAAAGGTCTCCTGACATGGGGTTATTTTATTATTTTATAATGTTTCCTGGGTTGCCCTTATAATGTTAGTATGTTTTTTAGATCAAAAGCATTCATAATTTAGAAATAAAAGGCAATTTTCCTAGCCTGATTTTAGCCTCTGATTTGAACGCTCTGTTTGAAGGGGCGTGTCGGTGTGGGATTCAGTGGAACCGCGGCCACTGCTGTGATTGGCTGACATGCTTGCATATGAAATAGCTACATATTACATGTGAAACTCTCTCGAAAACTTTTACTACAGCTATTATACGTTTTTACTATTACAGCTATCGAGATTAACGAATCGTGAGAAGTTTTTAAAGTATTTAGATCTATTCCCATCACGTAAAATGTTGCCGTGATGAGCATTGAGCAAGCAGATGACAGTCTGTTGATCGCGAGACTGAAGATCTTATCATTGCAACGCAGTTTCTGCACTCTCTCTAATGCTTTCACCAATGCAAACACGATGATGTACATACAGTAAGAGCTTCGTTGTGCAGTGTAACGTGCGTCATTGATTTCATAACGAGTTGTCCAGATAAACTCGCGCTTTGTGGAAAGATTGTTCTTTGATCGCTTTCTGTATAATTTGTTCAGAATTTAAATAAGATTATTTTCATCCTACTAAAAGAAACGATGTGAAGTTGATATTTTAGTCACTGGCTTGACTTACTGATGCATAAACAGTATTGAACGATTTTGAGAGAAAGATTACCTGTCTGAACTTGAACAATTAGGCTACACATCAGAAATTGTTGCTTGGTAGCTCGATCGATTTATTTTCAGACGTTCATCGAGTTGAGGAAACAGTCGTCGGTGAAATGTTTGGACCATACAAAACTTTGGGAAGTTGTGTCGGCGCATTTCCAGAGAAAATAAAATTAACCCATTGTTTCTTCAGAGGCTCGGATGAAGGAACTAAAAAATACTTTTGTGTTCATTTGTACATCCGAACACTGATCAACTGCCATGCTTCGCTCGTTTGCAAGCCATGATATCTCTCGAGGAAAAACTCAAATCGCGCCGGCGCGTTCGTACTTCCTGTTCCTAGCTCGTTTTCTCATGGGCGAGCCAAATTCTCCGGGCGGGCAAAGCAGAGAAAGGGGAGGTAACCTTTCCTCGTTATGACGTCATAACGAGGAGATTCAAGATCAGCGCGTCTGAGCTGCAGAGAAGAGAAAAATAGCCAAAGCTCGGTTTACACCGATTGAAAATTCTAGACACGAGGGGACCAAATACAGGCTAGGGGAACTAATATTAATGTTAAAAAAACCTCAGAAAGTGAAAATTTCATGTCAGGGGACCTTTAAGAAATCGAAGCTTTTATTCAGCAGGGACACATTTAGTTGATCAAAAACAAAGACATCACAAAAGATTTATTTTTCAGAAAGAAAATTCTTGAGCACCAAATCAGCATGTTAGAATGATTTCTGAAGGATCATGTGACACTGAAGACTGGAGTTATGATCCTGAAAATTCAACTTTGCATCACAGGAATAAATTACATTATAAAATGTGTTTTATTTTTTAACAAATAAATGTAGCCTTGGCGAGCATAAGAAACTTCTTTCAAAAATATGAAAAAAAATCTTACCAACCCCAAGCTTTTGAACAGTATTATATGTACATTCAGTATTTTTTTATACAAAATTACAAATACATTTTTTAATTGTTTACAGCAAGACCAGGAAGGTATATAGAAATAAATAAGGTTTTGAATGATCTGCTTTGCTTTTCATCTGTGCCACACAGGGGTTTACATCATTCAATGACACTCCCACCATGGTAACAGATCAAACCCGAAATATTGTTGAAGGTGAGTTCAGAGATCAAATGCAGATTAGAATTCAGATCTCCCCAAAGATTGATACAAAATCTCCTTTCAGTAATTTGTAAAAATATTTTTCGACTTTTAATAAATTTAAACACTTTACAATAGCTAACATGAACTAACAAGGAAGAATACTTTTATACCATTTATTAATCTAGGTTAATGTTCATTTCTACATATACTGTACTAATACATTTTTAACATTTGAAGTTAACCTAGTACACTACTGTCCAAAACTTTTTTAAAGAAATGAAAAATCTTATTCTGCAAGAATGACAGTAAAAACATTTATATTGTTACAAATTTCTATTTCAAATAAATGCTGTTATTTTTAACTTTTTATTTATCAAAAATGATTTCCATAAAATATTTAAGCAGCATAATTGTTTTCAACATTGATAATAAATGTTTCTTGAGCACCAAATCAGCATATTAGAGTGGTTTCTGAAGGATCATGTGACACTGAAGACTGGAGTAATGATGCTGAAAATTCAGCTTTGACATCAGAGGAATAAATTACATTTTTTTTTAATATTAATATATATATAAAGCAGCAAAATAGTAATAATATTTAACAATGTCTTACTGTTTTTTTGATCAAATAAACTGACCCAAAACTTTGTAACAATAGTTCAAATTATATGAATAAACGCTGTAGAAAATTGTACTAATGTTAGCAAATTTTAACTTTTTGTAAAATGTTATCATTTAAACATTCCCATAGTGAAAATTGAATCATTTAATTGATTTAATTAACACATGACTTGTATTATAAATGATATGTACCTAGATAATATTTAGCATGTTAATTCTTTGTAAGGCCTGAGGATGATGGGCATCACCAGCTTTTATTCCTTGCTACCGTCACCTTTGGCTTGCTCACCCAGACACAGACAATAAAACAAAATTCTCTGAAAATACCATGGATTATGAGAAGCACTTGACAAATACTAAACATACGGTTGTGTCTGGTTGTTCTCCTGTAGGGGTGAAGGTTCTGCTGGAAGACATTGGGTCTAACATCACCACTTTCACCAAGCTCTTCCCGGTTCACAGCTCTCTGACCAACTTCACCAAAATGATTACTCACACACACTCACAGATCGAGGACATCTACCCACAGATCGATCAGATGGATTTCTACAGGTACTTCACAAGCTCTCATCATCATCATCACATTTATTTTTATAGCGCTTTTCACAATACAGATCGTTTCAAAGCAGCTTTACAGAGATAACAGGAAAAAATGCAACAAAGTTTGTTTCCAGAAGAAAAAAGCATCACAGTCCAGCTTAAGTAAGTTCAGGGATGTTTCATTTTTGTTGTAAAAAAGTTATTAATTTAGTTACTTCATTTATATATATATAGCCGCTCTGGAGAAAACCGTGATGTCAACGTCCAGCTCAGTTCAGTTCTCATATAATGGTGTCATTGCAGGCAGATCAATATTATTGTTGAATATTAAATTACACAACTTCAAACTCTCTCTCTCTTCTTTGTTTTTCGAGGTAAAAAGTCTTCCATGTGACCTTGACGTTGTTCATAATGTTTTGTCTTCAGGTGGATCTGTTGTATTACCCTGTGCTGTATGGTTGTGCTTATCCTCGCCTTCAATTTTCTGGGATTGTTGTGTGGTATTCTGGGATTTGACAGGCACGCTTCTCCAACCACACGTGGATGTGTCTCTAACACAGGAGGCAACCTGCTCATGGCGTGAGTTTGAGTGTAATATCAGTCTCTAAACCCATCAAATGGATGTGGTATAAAACAGACTTGTCTGCACTCACTCATTCACACACTCTTCCTGTGTTTCTCAGTGGTGTGGGATTCAGCTTCCTGTTCTCTTGGGTGCTCATGGGAGTGATAACAGCTCTGTTCTTGGCAGGGGGGAATCTTGAGAAGCTTGTTTGTGAACCCTTCCAAACCCGACAGCTTTTCAAGGTAAGAGAAATGACACGGCATCTCGCAGTACGGTTCATAAACAATAAAGGCCTGAGACCACATTTAAAACCAGGAAATAAATAGGGTTTTAGGATTTTAAAACATTTAAGTTATGATGCAAAATTATTAAGGATTACTTGAGATTCTGCATTTTTCTAGGTCACTCATCGAATAAATGAATGTGCAGCATTGATCATGTGAACTGACAGTCAGATGTTTTTGCATTCTGAAATTCATGTTCATGTTTTCAATTCATCATTCCCCTTAGATTAAAATAAAATAATAATAAATATTATATTATACTGTATATTATATTATATTATTATAACACTTTGCAATAAGGACTCATTAGCATAAAATGTATTAACCTTTGTTAATGTTAAATTGCTCATGTTAGTTCACAGTGCATTAACTAATTCTGGCAAATATAACTTTGGATTTGAATAATGTATTAGTAAATGCTAAAATTAACAATAACTAAGATCAATAACTGCAGTAGAAGTATTGTTTATTGTTAGTTCATGTTAACTAATGTAGTTAACTAATGTTAATGAATGAAACCTTAATGTAAAGTGTTACCTACTATTATATTAAATAATATAATATATGTTCCATTTAAACTTTTCCCTTATATTTTCATGTTGATAATATAATTTGTAATTAATTTAGTTTAAATTTGTTTTAAATGAGTGAAATACAAAGCTAAAGGACTAATAAATACAAGGAAAAAATCTGTCTCATTTAGTGTGATCATGTTCTTTGTAGGTGTTAGATACGCCCAACCTTGTCAACTCTGCTTGGAGAAACTTCATACCAGGATACCTGTACAATGACCCTGAGATTGACCTTACAGCATATTCTCTTTACAGGTAACCTTTTCATGTATATCTAATCAAACTGAAGATTTATATTACTCTAATAACGACTGTTTTAAAGTGCTGTAAGGATTTTTATTTCAAAATATTCAAATTTTGAACTCAACATAACAGACCACATCTATATAAAAGTCTTTATGAATTTTATGAACAGACAAATGTATGAATTTTAGTGCACTAAAAACTAAATATTAAATCAAATGGCATATGCAAACAAATGATGCTTGACATTTTCTCAGAACCAACTTTTCTGAGCCATCTTACAATAGAATTGTCTTTGTTCGTAGTCCAGCAGATGGCAGCAGAGTATGGTTTGAATGCTTTCCCTTTTTCTCTCCTTTCTCAGTAACTGTAAGGACAACAGAGGGATTTACTCAGCTCTTCATCTGGATAAGATCTTCAACATCTCAGCCTTCTTTAACACCAGTGTGGTGAGTGGATCAAAGGCTTATCTCACGAGAACACGAAAATCACAGCTAAATATGCAGTAGCTTTCAAAATCCCACTCTGAGATTAGTGATGTTACTGTTTACACCAGATGCCATTATGAAGAGGGTATATTGAAATGTTTAATGAGTGAGATGCAAACTTCCTAATTCATTTTTGAGTCCTTGGTGTGAACTGATAACTATCTGACAAATTTGGTTGTTCAGACTAATTTAAGTTGACTATGAGTTCTTGCATTAAAATACACACATACACACTTTTACAAGAAAGGAGATAATAGATTTTGTCATTTTTGAGTCTGTCTTATTTTTATCTGAAGCAGATGATACTTGTTTTTCTTTTCCTGCAGATTTCTGCCAACTTTAGATATATTTCTTGTGAAATACAGTTTTATTAGAGCTCTGATGTGGTGTGGTCAAAAAGAACAGGCAGTTTTTCCAGTCCAGTGTTAGTTGTTTTTCTCTCTGTTCTCTGCAATTGGCAGAATATCTCAAAACATTTCATTTGAAACTTTTATATACAGCGTCTATAAATGCCTTCATTTCAGAATGATTTTTGTTTTCAGTTAAAATCCTGCAAGCCAACATTCTTGATCCATTGTAACATAGGATTCAAAAATCTGAGACCACATCGAATGGAAAATTTTAGGATTTTATAAAACAAAGGAAATCTTGTGAACTGCATTATACAGACAGACAGATGTTTTTGCTTTTATTGAAGCACGAGATGTTCTTTGGATCATCTCAAATCACTAATGTATAATAATAATAATGTATTATATATATATATATATAATTTTTATAATTTTATTATATTTATTTTGCATGTATGTATGTGTGTGTATATATATATATATATACACACAAAATAAATAAATATATATATATATATATATATATATAGTCTGAGCCACTAGTAAATATTAAAACTAAGTAAATACATAAAAATTAGTAAAAAATATAGTAACACTTTACAACAAGGTGCCATTAGTTAACATTGGTTAATGCATTAACTAACGCATTCATCATTGTTAATGTTAGTTAACAAAAATACAATTGTTCATTGTTAGTTCATGTTAACTCCGGTCCATTACATAATATTAACTGATACAACTTTTGATTTTTATAATGTATTTGTAAATGCTGAAATTAACATCAACTTAGATTAATAAATGCTTTAGAAGAATTATTCACTGTTAGTTCATCTTAACTAATGCAGTTAATACCTTACCTATTGTTAACAAATGGAACTTTATTGCAAAGTGTTACCATTTTTATTTACTAGTGGTCTTGACTTCAGGGTCCCACTGTTTAGTTCTAGAATATTTCCTTATGACAACCCATACCAATTTCTTAGACTCATGTCAGAATCATATACAGAGCCTCTTTTCTTTCTGCAGTACTCCAAGGATGTGTCGAAGAAGTTTGAAGGGATGAAGGTGGACCTGCGTGGCATCATTCTTCTGGAGTCAGAAGGCAAACAGAATCTTATCAGCTTTACTGAAACTGGCATTAATGATATTGACTTTGCTGCCTATTCGGAGGAGGTACATAACATACATAAAAGCACATACACATTTTGATTGAAACGTTTGCTCCACAGGCTTTGGTGCATGTACAGTCCAAGATTAGATAGAAACTGTGTCCTGTGGCTTCTCATGTGTTTCTGTTTATCTTCCAGGTTAATAAAGGAGTGACTCGCGTTAATTTAGTTGATTTCGCCAGTCAACTTGATGCTCAAGCTGATCTGTTGGTAAGTTATTTATTTTTGGTTCAATTAAAATAATATAAAAAAAAATATTACAATAATTTTAGGTATTACATGAAATTCACACTCATGGTTACTAGTTAGTACCAATGTGAATAACTAATATTCTATTCTGCTCTAATAATAACTGTTTCTTTCTTTTCCAGTCTAAAGGGACCTTGCAGACTTCATTAAAGGGACACGCTAACACTATAAGGCAGATCCACATCCAGCAAGTCATCCCGCTGGAGCAGTCCATGGTAATCTATTCCTGTCTCATAGATTCTCTTTTGATTCTTTACCTCCTTATTCATGAATGGTTCTGCTGAATCAGTTCCATTCTGTTGGATCGCTTGCAAATGAAAAGCATCTGAATAATGTTCATATTGCTGTTTGCACCTGTCTGATTTTCAATGATCTTTTTGAATTTTTCTTAACACATTCAACTTGATTTATGGCTTCGAAGAAATATGTGAAAGCAAGGGTAAGCCTGTATCTACCAGTAATAACTTACAAGTTGTTTGCTCCTTTTGGTTTCTACTTAGTTTTTTCTGACGCCATCATAAAAAAACAAGCATCTTTTTAGAGTAACTTCATCCTGTCTTTGTCCTATTGGTCTTCTTATAATTATTAGTTTTTTTTAATATATACAGTTTCATAAACTCAGATTCATAAAAAGGGTGAAGTGTGGAATTTCTGTCCCTCTAGTGGCATCAAACAGAATTGAAGAAAATAGTCATGTTTTCTAACATGTTGCTCAAACAATCCTTCCTGTTGTCTGCAGACCATTGGTTAAAGCATTGTCGCTTTGCTAAAAAAAAAAAAAAAAAAAAAAAAAAAAAAGTACAGTGTCACTGTTTTTACACATTTGGAGAAATCAAACCAGAAATGAATGGAATGAGAAAAAGCTTTTAAAATTGAAAAATTCACTCTTCACCTTTGAAAAACAATGTTGGAATGCAATTTAAGCACCATTTCATATATTGCCAATGCTGATGTGATGAGAGTTGATTAACTGAGGTTACCACTACCTTTTCAAAATGCATTTTCAGGACTGGGACTTTTATTTTCTCATCCATACTAGATGTTTTACCGGTTAGATGTGATCTTATATGAAATATAAATCTCATCAATTGATGACCTTTCCCCCTGTATCCCAAATATATCATTTAGTCCAACTGTTTTGTGTCACATCTCTTATTTATTGTGACATGATGTGCATGAAATGCATGTAATGCAACTGTTAGGTTGCATGACCCTCTGTCACCCTTCTGGTTCCCTTGAGCTGTCAGTTTGTTTCCAAAATGGTCATTTACAGTACTTTTTGCACCATTATAGATGAGATAATTTGGACATAATGATTCATACTTTCTATACCTCCATTATCTTCCTTATTAAAGAGCACGCTTAATCAGAGCATCAGACTTCTGGAGAGGACGTCCTCAGACCTGCCTGTAAGTTGCTCATTTTAAAACTGCCACCTGTTCAAAAATATCATCACAGATGCATTTCAGAACATGCTTTCTGATTAGCTGTAAATGTGTTGCTTTTTAGCTCAGAGTTAGGGATGTACTAGAAGCCGTTGATGCCGCCCAGTTCCTTATTTCCCACAATGCAACATTTTTGATCAACCAGGTAATGCGAGCGTAAAAAATAAAACCATGTAAGAATGATTGGTGCGTTGGTTGTATTGTACTGGTGGTTAATATATGCTTAAACAGGAAACCGAGAAATACAAGCAGACTATCATTGGCTATTTCAAGCAGTATATGGACTGGATCAGAACGTCTGTGAGTATTTTTAACTATGCACTTGTAGTAGTATCAATGTTAGATTGCTGGCGATCGATCAGTTATTGTGCATTATTGTAGGGTTGAAACCCCTTTGTTTTGCTGCCTCATTGTAGCTGGCCTTGGAGGTCGCTACCTGTAAACCGCTCAGCAACATTGTGGACACTGCCGAGATCCTGGGCTGCAGTTTCCTGCTGGATTCAATGGTGAGAGAACCATCGCTACTATAATGAAAATCATTGAAATAAATAGTTCAAAACATTTTCTCATCATTTATTCACCTTCATGTCAAGCCCCAATTTTTCTGACATCCATGAAATACAGAAGTGTTTTCCATACAATTAAAGTGGATGGTGATTTATCAGCCATAGCTTCAAAAAGTACAAAAACTACTCTTTCACTATAGGTGTGTCCCAAATCGTGTACTTTTCCACTATTCTATGCCATTTTGTAGTATAAATAGTGCGAGTAGTGCGTTCACACTGAAAATTCTAAAAAGAAAAAGTGCACTTTAAGTACCCGGATGATGCACTTATTTAACCGAAAAAACGAAGTGTGGAATGAGAAAACGCCTCCGGTTACAAATATAACCATGGTTCCCTGAGAAGGCATCGCATCCTAGGACACATTGAGAGTTCCCAATTATCAATAATATGATCGGAACAATTTCAGGCCAGGGTTAATGTTTTAACTTAAAATGGTGTAACCTTCTATTGTTTTCATATACATCAATTTATAAACACTACAACCTAACCCTAAAACACACCCTAACCCATAACAGAAAACCCACTGCATTTTTACAACAACAAAAACTTTATTTACTTTTTTTTAATATCCTTTTACAAATGAGGATGTCCCTAAATAAAGATTTTGTCAGATTTTGCTCACTTCTGGGTACAAATTTCAAGAACAAATAACAAGTTTGTACTTGTGGGCCAGTGGGTTCTTCTTTTAGCTGGTTTCTCTTTTATTTTTACTCATGTTGGTAGTCATTGCATCCTTTTGGCTACTTATTTGTATAAAGTTCAACTTTTATCGACATCTTGCATGGCTGGACCAGATCCCCCACTTTGATGGAATGTGAATAACTCTTTATGTAGAAAGCTTCCCATGCTGGAATTCTACTTTCTGTGTTTTGAAAAACTCTACTTTTCAGAAGCAATCATACAGAGAGTATGTTGATCAAACATGTCATTTATGGTTAAGTGGAGTGCAGTTTTTGGGTGGCTTTAAGTAATCTTGTGCTTATTTGTTGCAGAACACGTTCTGGTTTGGACTGGGCTGCTCCTCGTTGTTTCTGCTCCCTAGCATTATCCTGTCCATCAAGCTTGCCAAGTTCTACCGCAGAATGGACACAGAGGATGTCTATGACGAGTAAGCATCCCAAATATAGCAAGTTTGTGGTTGCTATTTATCACCCCACTGATTACAGTTCAGTTATTATCGTTTGTATATTGTTTTTCTCTGCTAACGAAAACCCAAAGTGCAGTTGTTCAGTCAGATGAATGTTGTATAATGAATAATATGCATTAATATATGAAAGTGCAAATGCCTCATTCTTTTCTTTTCGTTTGCCTCAGAGTAGTTAGTAATTTTTTTCTTTCTCTCTCTCTCTCTGTGTTCTTTTTCTGTTTCTTTTCTCTGTTCTTTCTAGTTCCTCTGTCTCGGGGACTTGGCATTTCACGTTATGATAACCATTCTTGCTATTTCCATCTTTCTTCATTCTTCGTCTTTCTGTCCAGCACTTTGCACTTTATGACAACTACCTGTATATATTGTTCAAACAGTGTTTGTTTTAGCATTTGTCGAGCATTCATACGTTTACAGTCAAAAACCATTGCGATTGACAAGTCACCAAGTGTCTTGACCAAAGACGTCCATTTTGACATCCATGTGATGTCTCTGTACGCCACTACAGTGCATCTCTGTAACATTTTTGCTTGTCTTGTATCTTTTTAGCATTGAGACAATTCCCATGAAAACGTAAGCTGTTTTTCCCCCTTATATTTTGCTGTCCACTTTCCCGCTAAAACGACATCCCTTTCCTGTTTTGTACATAAAACTTTCTGCTTAATGGTGCTGGTTTAAGCTCTAAGCCTGGGAATGCTTCTTCGGGGAAGGGCGCTGTTTGTGTTGGTGTGTTATCTTTGAAGCTCCCTTGTTTAACATGAAGGGCTGTTAAAACAGAAACCTTAAGAGCACACTTCAAAAGAATTGCTGTACATTTTACAAGATACGATTGCAATTTATACCGAATCATACTCTACTGCACAAGCTCGCGTGTACATTTTTCAAGACCGTTTTTAAAATGAACCTTGTTTATAGTCAGTCGCATGCCATTTCTCTTATGTCACATCATGTTTTGTTTGATTTTTTTTTTTTTATCTATGTAATGTTTTTTTCAGTATGGAATTTGGTAATAATGGTTATTATAATGAACATTTAGAAGGTATCCAAAACCCTGTAATGGCAAGGTAATCAGAACCATATCCACGCTTAATAAATTGCATGCATTGGAGGTACAAATCGATTGAGGTTATAGTGAGATGTCAGAGGTCTGATGCATGCGTGATTTGAAGGTGCCCTTTGCACAAACATGCACCTAGGAATTGGCTATTTCATTTTTTTTCTCTTTTTTACAGTGGTGTTTGCATGCTGGCTAACTCAATAGCAGTAATAGAATTTGTGTTTTGCATTTAATATTTGAATTTATATTAATGCATGCATGATATTGCAGAATTTATTGATTGGCTGAATTTGAGTCTCTCACTAGGCTGTTATGGCTGTGCATGGTCTTTTTCTCTAACTCATCACTAATGGCATGTGTTTCAGCAACAAAACATGTAACAGAGGTCAGGACGGTGGGCTAGAATGACAGAGCATAAACGCATACATACCATTCAAACTTTTGAGGTCTGGGAGATTTTTGAAATGTTTTTGAAAGATGTCTCTTGTGCTCAACAAGGCAGCGTGTGTTTGATTAAAAAAAGAACTGTAAATAAACTTAAAATCGTGAAATAATAAATCAATTTAAAATAACTATTTTCTTTTTAAATAGATTTTAAAATGTTATTTATTCCTATCATGGCAAAGCTGAATTTTCAGTATCATTACTCCAGTCTTCTTCAGAGTCACATGATCCTTCAGAAATCATTCTAATATGCTGAATTGGTGCTCAAGAAACATTTTATGTGTGACATTCCAATCAAAAATCACTTAAAGCACCTTTAATTATTAGTACTAGTGCTGTATGTGTCATTTTGAAAGCCCCGTCCTGCTCTTCTATAAGAATGATGGGTTAAAATGGATGGAGAGATGATGGGGGGCATCTAAGGGCTGTGTGTGGATGTTAATACACTCTGACCCTGACAGTTTTTCCTTTTGTGCCTCAAGCATCCCTACCTATGACACTATGACTCGATTCCCACGGGCCTCTGCGCCCCCGCGCCATGCCGACTGGTGACTCTGAGGAGGACGCTCTGTTTTTAACAACAGAAAGGTACTGGGAGCTGCAGATAAGAGCAAATGGACTTGCTCTTCCTCTCTAACAAGCATGTGCATCTTCCTCCCGTTCAACTAATTACATTTTAGTATGCGTTTATTTGATTTGTTTCCTAACCTTTCACTCTTGATTATGTATCATCTAGTGAGCGTCATTACACCAACAGCATGTTTCGTTTTTGCATTCTCTTTCCATTTTCAGAAGCATTCCGCCTGGATAACTGCTGACAGTTCTGCCAAGCTTTGTGTGAATTGTGTTTTTTAGGGTCCATCACTAACCACTTGCGCGTATCATTGTGATCCGCCGATGTTTGACTTCAAACATTCCTGACGCCTCTGCAAACAGATAGATGCCAGCGCTCACTGTGTGTTTTGTTTCTTTACTTTGGTCTAAAATCTCATCTCCCCTCTCACGTCTCATGTCCACCAGTTCATTCGTATCACTCTTTGCCGTTTATCGTGCATTTGAAACTACGCAGCAGGTGTAATTCTGCAATATTGTTTCTTTACTTTGTTCTCACAGTGCTATTGAAAACTGGAATTGAACCTTTGTGGAATGTAAGTTGTTTAAATTGGCCTTGTTTTACATTAAACCAGTGCTTCTCAACCTTTTTGACTCCAAGGCCTCCCACTGTCCACAACAATATTCAAAGGCCCACTTGATTTTTCCAGTTGTTTGTGATTTACTGGATAAGGATTAAGGATAAGGATTTAAAAAATATTTTTACACAGTTTCGACCTGATTTTTTATGGGGGAAAAATGCGCACGGAATTATAAAAAAAATTTAATTACATGACCAGGTCTGAAAATCACACTTTTACAAATAGCCTTCCTCATATATCCAGTAGCCAAGCTAACAGGGAACATTCTCAGAACTTTAGCTAATGTTCTGGCCAGTGGTGGACAGTAACGAAGTAAATGTAATTCGTTACTGTACTTAAGTAGCTTTTTTGCGTATCTGTACTTTACTCAAGTATTTAAATTTTGGGAGACTTTTACTTTAACTCCACTACATTTCAAAGTCAAATATCTTACTTTTTACTCTACTACATTTTCAAAATCAGTCGTTCCTTTTTTTTTATGAGTGGATAAAAACGTAACTGGTCAAACGAGCCACCAATGAATCACAGTACAGCGCGCGCGCGCTTTGTTTTGAAGTTGCCTTGGCGGAATCTACTAAGCGCGAACCAGGGGTGCATTTCCCAAAGCCAACTATGGTCGCAAGTTCCGTCGTTAACAATAGAGTTCAATGGAAATTGCGATCATAGTTGGATAACGATGCTTTCGGGAAACGCACCCCAGAGCCGTTAAATATGAGAGTTGCGAACATAGATGGTTGTGACAGTGATCTCGCCGACGCGCGGTCACGTTATTCATGTAGCTCTCAATAGTTCCAAACAAATCGCGTTGACAATGATTTTAAGCGGGACAGAGAGCAGCAGCTGTTATTGCAGCAATTATTGGTAAGTATTGACGCATAATGTACTGCTTACTTTGCCACTAAAATGACTTGCATATAATAGCTTTTTTTTCTGGGGAGTAGCCTAGCAGAAACACTGCATTAATACGTTTTTGTGTTTAATTTTGGAGGGAATTGGCTGCTCCCATAACATATATATATAGAATATATATATAGGCTATATATAGCCTATATATGTATGTGTGTGTGTGTGTGTGTGCGCGCGCGCGTGTGTGAATATATGTGTGTGTGTGTGTGTGTATGTGTCTGTGTATGTGTCTGTGTGTGTGTGTGTGTGTGTGTGTGTATATATATATATATATATTTAATGGCGTTGTGCAGGTTTATGTGAATGTATCTTAACATTAAGATGTTAATAATTATGACCATAGGCGCTGGAGAAAAATATATACAGTAAATACTGTAAATGTTTTATACCTTATGGGAACAGTCCCCTTCCCTCCAAAATTAAACACACAAAAAATTAATTCAATTCAAATATATATACATACATACAGTATATATATATATCATACTAATTCATGTCATTTCATTAATAGATTGGTGTGCCAAGAGTGACATTAGTCTTCACTTAGACTGAGTTAAGCAAGAGTCTTGTGACAAATTATAATAGGACATTATAGCCATAAAAAAAAAATCAAAGTACTTGGATACTTAAGTACATTTGAAGGCAAATACTTTTGTACTTTTACTCAAGTGAATGTTTAAAGGCAGCACTTCTACTTTTACTTGAGTAATATTTTACCTTGAGTATCTTTACTTTTACTCAAGTACATGGTATGTGTACTTCGTCCACCACTGGTTCTGGCAAGGTTACCTCCAGTAACATTAATAGAACATTTGTTCAAAGTTATCAGGTCTATGCATCATAATAATGTTCTCAAACCGTTAGCACAAAAACGTTCTTTATACATCATTCATGGAGCGTTTTATTCTGAAATGTTTTAGTTGGACATTCGTCGAACATGTTACTACTTGTTTCAGAATGTTTAAAGAACATTCAAAAGTAACATTCCTGTAATGTTTGAAGAATGATAAAATGGAATGTTTCTTTAACATTCGCATAACCAAAAAGTTAGCCAAACGTTCTTGGAACATGTTAGCTGGGAGGAAAAAAAGGAAAAGAAAAAAAAACAGTTGTTGAGGGATGAATTAAAATAAGATGGATCTTGATTTTTAGTTAGTTATTTGAATGCTTGTTTAGTCTAATTTTAAATCATCTCGAGGCCCCCTATAGTCAGTAGTGAACCGCAAGTCCGTGTTCCGGGGGGGTGATGGGGTAGAAATCATGTTCCCCCTCAGTAGAGATCATGTTTTGGTTTTACACCACTGCCCCTAGTGGTTCCGGTCCCCTGGTTGAGAACCACTGCACTAAACAGAATAAAAAAGCTTGTATAAAATCTACCAAAAATACTGCATGCATTGTACAAGACTAATGATTTTCTCTCACTGTGAATTTCTTCTTTACCACAGACTCTCTCTGTGAACAGCAGGCTCAGCTCAAACAGACGGCATTAAGAAAAGGAAACTCGTATACTTGAAGCTGGGACCTGCTGTCCATGTGCCCATGACATCGATCAAGATGAATTTTTAATCGAAATGTCCTTACTGTTGTTGTTGTTTTGACTATTTTGCACCCTTATGATTTAAATCTTATGGACTGTCCCCTCAATGAGCTATTCTCTGATGTCACATCCTGTCAGTCAGAGAGGCTTCAAAGTATACGGCTGTTTTAACTACTACATGTGTCTTTGTTTACAGTCATAAATCACATGTGACGGGCATAACAATGCTCCGTTTCTTTTTTCTTTGTATAGTGCTTTTTAACATTGTGGAGAATTCAACATATTGAAGTCGAGACCACTGAGAGTCCGAAGGGATTTTTGTTGAAACAGAGCAAGCCAGCCACCCATGAGCCACAAATATTACACATAAACGATGTGTTTAGGTGTTTGAAAACATGCTAAGTGCTAACTAGTGCTAATACGGTACAGATAGATGTTGTCAAGCCATTTCAAGGGTGAATGCATTGTTGCCTTTTCAGATTTTTAGCTCGTGGTACATGTAAGCCATGCCACAAGTCAGTCACAAGGTCTTTGATTAGTTTTACCTAGACTATTGAGACTGAGAAGAACGCAAAACCACATTTGATACTGATCTCTGGTTAGCCGTTTAAGATGTCTGTATGTGTTTATGCTCTCTTTTGTACTTGGAAATTTAAGATATGATGCATTTGGTTTTAGTAACATCACTAAAAGATCTTGGTAGCTTTATGTACTTTCACAGTTATTAATGATATTCCGGTTGCTAATTTTGCTGACTGTACTAACAGTTGTTCTCCAACACATTGTTGGATTACTGTATGCTTATTGCTTTTTGACACCAAATCTTGTTCCATTGTAGGTCTCAGGTCTTAGGGCTTTTTGTTTACTTGATATAACCATATTTGTGGTGGACATATGCTGATTATGTGAAATTATTGTCAGTCAGCTTTAAAGCGAGTGAATGTACCGCGGAGACATTTGCTGGTACGAGAGCAAGGGAAGACAACAGAGCCCCTCTACGACGACTTTTACAGAGCCTATTTAACGCTGTCATAGTCATTGACAATTACTCCACCAAATATTTCAGCTGTTTAATGTTAGAGACATGTCAGGTGCTACATATTGTTGCTCAGATCCTTCACACATTGTGTATATGACAGTGTTATCAGGGCCTCAGGTAAAATGTTGTACTTGATTTATACCCAGAAAGGTCCCTTCACCTCACAGTCTCACTGTTTTGCCATACCACTTGTAGCATGCGCATACTTGGTGTTCAAGCTTGCTCGAAGATGTTAGTTGTGGTGGGCCTGGTTGTCAGTGCCGTTGGCTTTCAAGTCCTTGTGGTTAGGCTGGCTAAAACTGTAAAATATTGTGAATAAAATTTCAGATGAAAATAACATTCTCTGGTGTTGTAAATTCCAAATTCAACCACTGTACATAGCATTCAAATTGAGTTACAATAAGATTGGTGACAAAAATAAAGGGAGAGGTTTTAAAATAAAAACAAGGGAAATACTTCTATTTGTAAACAGACTGTTTCTTAAGAGGTGAAGTTATAGCTTACAAAGACTAGAATGTTATGAAAACACAAAAACAGTGTTAGGAACTTTATTAGACTTTAAAGGGGCAATAGGTGCCCTCTGGAATTGGTTTTCATGGTGCCTTTTTACTATTAACAAGAACTTTTTTTCTATAACATAAAAAGAACAATTTTGTCAAATACTGCATCACTTAATTGAAATGTGTTTATAGTGTGTCTAAAACCAACACTATATAGGCCTATAATGGAATAGTGTGAACTGTATCAGCATTTTTTGTTACTATTGGTGAAAGAGTGTACTCTCACTTGAGTGAAAATACAGGCAACTGGTCAAATATTACTCCGCTTCAAGTGAAAGTACAGAAGTAAAAGTACAGAAGTACTTGTTTTTAAAAGTACTTAAGTATCAAAAGTAAAAAGTAAATGTCAATGCATTGTTTTATTTTTTTATTATTGTGGCAATGGAATACTTAGTACCTTATGCCTCTGAATCTATGCCTGCCTACCTACCCATACTCATATCTATATCAAATTTATTTCTAGACCACAGTTCCAGAAGTGTGATTGAATGTGAGATTGAATAAGTGCACTCAATAATGTCCACGATGGTTTCGGACACCCAAATGGCTGTACCCTCAAATATTGCCCTATTTAAAGTTTTTTGTCTTTTAGTATGAATGTTAGCCTTACTGTTATCTATAAGCTAGTGTGCTCCAAAACAGTGACAAAATTTGCATTTAGAAGACCAAACCCAACGTTGAAAATGAAAATCAGGTTGATGTCAGAATCCAACGCCAGATTGACTTTAATCTCCAACGTTGGACAGACGTATTGTGGTTGAAAATAAAAATTAGGTTGACGTTATAAACCAACATCAGTATGGTTCTGACTTCAACCCGGCTTTCATTTCCAACGAAAATGCAACCCCTGCATCCAAAATCATCCCCTGACTGACGTTACTACTTTCTACTCAAGGACCTTGACAGAGATGTAGTGGAGTAAAAAGTATATTTGTCTTTCAAATGTAGAGAAGTTAAAGTAAAAAGTTTCAAGAAAAAATATATACTCAAGTAAAATATACTCAAGTAAATGTACTTTGTTACTGTCCACCTCTGCTCACCTGATTTTGCTCTATCCAAGAAGGTTAGTTTATTTTTTAATATAACACCCGTCATCTGTGTCTGTCAGTTGTCCCCATGTGTTAATAAACTCTGGGACTTGTAGAAGCCAGTAAAACGCTTCAAAGAAAGCCGGAAAAAGAGCTGTAATTGTCACAGAGCCTTTGATTTCACGCATTTCAGCTGATTTGCATTTCAATTTCTGCATCAGTTAGAGACCTCTTTCTCCCAGATATGATTGTTTGCTTGAAAAATAAAAATGTGATTAGTTTAATGTTTTTGCTGTAATTCAGGTGTTTTCTCTCATTTTTCTCCATGCCTCGTCTCTTTAAGTGATCATATAATCATATAATATAAATGTTCATATAATGATCTAATCATGTTCATGCATGATTCTGATCCTTCATGCAGAACTGTCAAAATATTCTTTTTAGCATTAAGGTTAATACTATATATTTTATCATGGAAGCCCTGTTGCCACGAATTGTGACTCCATATCTCACAATGTGACCTTTATTGTTAACTTTTTCTCGCAATTACCTTTTTATTCTTTACTCTGAGGTGGAAAAGGCTTCAATAGTTTAGTGAGCGAAGCAGATCACATTTTTTATCACATTTGAACCAACTTGACTGGCTTACGGTCTTGCAATGAAGTCCACTAAAACGGTTATTTTTTAAGTCCACATAACCCAAGAATAGGTTTTCTTGATGAAGAGCATGGACAGATTGTTTCCCAACATCAAAAACAAAAACACAATCACAAAACGAATATAGCTGTGGTGTATTGAGAATTACACAACAAATGCGGAGAAAGTTCCAGAATTGGGTGTGTAAATGGCTGCTCTCTTTGTCACTTACTTTATTGAGCATTTTTCTCAATTGGTTACATATGTGTGCCTGCTTTTCATTGACATTCGCCAGATAGCCATGCCAACAATACACACCCCAGGCGAGAAGCCAACATGTGGGGCAAACAAAGCCTTTAAATAGTGGAGTCAGAAGTCTCTCCACCAATGTCAGCGACTCACAACATGTGGACAATCACAAGCACGCTCCTGCTGACATGCTGCCTCCAGGCAGCTCTCGCTCAAACACAGGGTCGCGATGAAGATAAACCAAGAGGCAGGAGGAACATTTGGGAGGATGTGATTGAGTTTCTTACCAAAGGCACCAAAGATGAATGCTACTTGAGCGTGACAGGACATGGGGATCTGACAAAGCTCCGCATCTCTTGCCAGGGCCTGGAGCATTCATACTGGTGCGAGTACCAGGGCAAGCCTCAGGTCTGCCTCTCTTACAACAAAAATCCACAGCATTATTTCAGGCAGATCATGTGGAACCTCCGCAAGCTGCCGAATGCTTGCCAGGGCCAAAGTGTATTAAAGCCTCAGATGTGCAAGAGAGCATCCGACGAGGCCCAGATGGTCTTCACAACTGCATCCTCAGCAGACGCCGAGCCAAAGGACAGGCCCAACAGACCAGCCCCTGTCAGAACCGAGCAGATGAAACCACAACAAAGACGACGAGAGCCCAATGCTCTCAAATCCACCACTCAGAGGAAAGTTATTACACCTAAACCAACTGTGCCACAACCAACTACGCAGGTACCCATGAGTGAGGCCAAGAAACTTGCTCAGGACCACTGCTGGCGCTCCTTCCATGGTGTGTGTTCCTGGGTCATTGGGTGGTTCAGAAATTAAGGATAAGGTAGGACTCTTTTTTTAAATTACCAAAAACAATATGAGTTACTGTAAATCTGAAAACTGTATCTAAAAAAGTGTGTGTCCTCTCTGCAGTCACTCACATTTCCGCAGACAACAAACCCCATTCAAGATGACTCTGAATGTCTAACGTGAAGGTTTCGGACTGACAGAGACAAATGAGACACCATTCTCTACAATATATTCTTATGTTTGCAAATGCTCAGACTCTAATGCACAATGTATCAGAATAGACAGGATTACAAAGCTAGCAATGAATTTGGCTGTTGAGCATAATGCTGCCAACTGATGTTATACTGATGTTGTTTTCCAATCCTTAAACTATATGATGAGGAACTTCATCTTATCATGTGTACTGAATACTAATGTGTATTAAACCGCTATATTATGTAGCCTATTTATGACTGCTGACCAATTATGGGTCAGTATTTCTGAAAATTGGAACCACGGGTCACTTCAGACTGTAGGCTAATATATCCATGTGAAAACTCATAATGTACATGGATATGTCTCTGTTTACTGCATTTTTATAGTGAGGTAATACTCAGGCTATATATGTTTTTGTAATACACAAGTGTATAGCTGTATGTTTTGTGTATGTTCTGATTAAATTTGGGCTCTTTACCTTAGCTTTTTGTGTGGCAGTTTATTTACATGAGCGTGGCAGAAGATGGCGCTTTTGTGTTTGAAAGGCTTCATACCGAGGAAGATCTTTTGGCTACAGGGCTGGATTTATTTCCCATACAAAATGTTACCATAACCACAGTTACCACCAAAATACTTTCTACAATTATATGTTAGGCTATATGTTTTAATACCACTGTTTAAAATAAAAATAAAAATTGGAATAAAAAGCAGTGTTTGATTCGTTATTCAAATCGTTCGTTTGAATCGGATCTTTTAATGAATAAGGTGAACCGGTTCACGGGTCTGAATGATTCTTTGACCAATACTACTGAATCGGTCCGAGTTGATCTCGAGACAGCAACTCGTGATTCGAACTAAGTTCCGTATTTCGATCATGTCCGATTCATCAGTCCAGAACTGCTTATAGTAGGCTAATAGCCTACAGTCGCTGACTTAAGTTGGATTGCCTGGCTATGAACGTCGCTTTCAAATAATTATGACTGTTAATTTAATTTTAAAAAAAATTTAATAGGCCTGGCTAGGGTAGCCTACTGCTATTCGGTTGCCATTGTTCTTCAGTCATTGGTCATTGTTGCATTATTGTACGTCTTTACACTGAGTAAGGAGCACGAAAGCGTCCATTGTCTTCCTCCATATTGCCTACTCTTTTCGAGAATTTGAGTCCGACTGTTGGACTGTTCAACAGAACCGATTCGCCAAAGTAAATCTGAGGCTGACTTCATAGATTGTAAAAGTGTATTTTACAGTTGTAACAGTTAATTGTTCACATAAGCTGTAGTATGCCTATTCAGACATTGACTTATCAAGGCAACAGCTTGCCAAGTGGCGGTTCTAGAGGGGGGGCCAGGGGGGCCCGTGCCCCTGTGACAAAAAGCTTGGCCCCCCTTGTGGCCCCCCTAAATGTGGAGTTTGAAATAATTTTTACAAAACTGTTTTTTTGCTATCGTTGTATGCGTATTATTTTTTTTATTTTTCTATCTTTGTGGATTTGCATTTTCACGTGACAATTCGCATCACATTCGCGGGAATCGCGGCAGAATAACGCCTGTCTCCTGCACGCGAGAGAGGAGAGAAGAAGAAATTTGGTAAATGTCAGTTCAGTTGTAAGTTCATTCTTTATGTGCGTATGGGGTGTGCGATGTGTATTGTCTATTATGATATTGTAATCATTGTTTTAACTATGTACGAGGCACTGTGAGCTGACATAGCATTTGTCTATCGTCCTTTCACTGCTGTGTGCAGTTCATAGGTAGGCTATGTCCCCAAATTAGTTTTTGTCTTATATTTATATCATATTATGTTCTTATATTATCACATCAGCAAGAGTGCCGTTTTCCCGTGCACAATTGCAACTGTGATATTTATGTTATACAACAGTTAAATTAACAATAAGTTAACATTGGGAGTTACTTTTTAGACACAATATTGTCAATATTGTTTGTTTTCCCTTTATTTCGCCGACTAGAATTTCATAATGAAACCGTAGTGAGTCTCAATGCAACACAGCGATGACTGAAATCCGCGTTTTGAACGAATCACTTGCTTCTTTCCCGAATAAATCAGCCGTTTGAACAAATCGTTTGAATGAATGAATCCCTCTTACAGGGACTTGCCGCCGCCTACTGGCGGTTTTAGTTTCATATTTAAAGTATCCTTTAATTAAAACGTTAAAATTAGAAATAATTTCATTTTTAAATATTGATTTAAAAAAAATCTCATAGCTTTATTTATGCAATTGTAAATGGAGTGTAAATATATGAATGCCACTTCTGTGTCACCTCTGCACTGCAAAGATGGATTTTGATTGAATTAATTAATTTGACTGGTAACAGTGGTACTGTATAATTATTGCATAATTAAGTATTATTGTATAAATAAGTATAATTACTGTATAATTTGAATGTTAGTATTTGACATAAAAGGTGATGCATAACTCTAAATAAGTTTAGAAAAAATGTCCATATATAGGTGAAAATGCCCCTGGAAATCAATTTAAGGTGGGAAATATTGCCCCTTAATTAAAAAATGTATTTCTGTCACTGCTGTGAACTGACCACTGCATAGAATATGAAAAATATTAATATCTTCGTGAGTCAGCTGTCAACAACAGGCTTAAACCAGCCATGGCACCAGCACAAAAACACAATCAGTAAAATATCATCTAATTATTAACAAAATGTTGAAAATATTGAAATATATTTTTGTCAATATTGCACACCCCTAATGTACGGTATTAATTTTGATTTCTTTAGGTCTTAAAAAGCCTTAAATTTGACTTTAAAAAGTGTGCAGGAACCCTGTAAACGGTTAGACATATCAAGTCAGTTATTTTCAGTAAATGAATTAATAAGCTTCTTGGTCCCCATTGCTTTTGCTCTATAGTTCTCAAAATGAAGAGAAAGAAGGACATCATGTCTATTACAGTTACTGTGACTAATACTGAATATGTAATGCAAATGTAAAAATATAATGGAAATGCAAATACATTGTTGAATGATTATAAACACGGTATTTTGCCTGTTAATGCCTGCAGCAGTGCAGAAAATGATATGACAACAATAAGGTCTAAATGTAACTGGCCCCTCTAACAGTACAACTGGCCCCAGCTTGGCCCCCCCAGTTGAAATGGGCTAGAACCGCCACTTAATATCCCAGACCCAGAACAAGACACGATGAAAGAATGGAGTGAAGAGGGAGGTGCGTGCGCGAGATGCTCTATAAATGCCACACAAAGAAACTGCAGGTGCAAAACCAAACATTTCGCTGTTCTAGTGCATTATTATACCATATGAGTTTTTCTATTTTCTATAAAATCATCTGTGACCACAAATGTCACGTACGGTTTCCGTTTAAGTTTTTTTTAAATAAATTCCTAGGACATGATGCGCGTGACAGACATTGCTCTCGTTCTGAGTTTCGCCTGTATTTTGCAACAATTCGTTCAGGTGAACAGCCTGAGAGATAGAGGGAGGAGAGCACAGACAGATGGGAAGGGGAGGAGAAGAGGTCAACGGAATGAAAATGGTCTAAAAGGGAGATTCTCACAGAAGGATGGAGCGCGGTGCTCGTGGCTCGCTGCGCGCGAGCGTGATGCTTTTGTATTGGGAGTCACCTGCAAAAAGGGGGCAAAGAGTTTCGGCTGCGAATATGTAGCAGAGCCCACCGCATGTCAGCAATACGCATCCAATGCCATAGCCTACTGGAAACAGATCGCCCGCTCGCTGAAAAAGCAGAAGAGATTGTGTCGCGACTCTACAGCGATGGTTAAAGCAGGTATGTGCAGGAGCGCGCCCGCGGATGCGCACTTCAGACTGAAGGACAGGCGTCCCTCTTCCAGAGTCCCGTTACCGTCGCCCGCGGGGAACACTCACTGTCCTGACCGGATCGAGAGACTGAAAGTGGCCGAGGAATACTGCAGCAGCTCCTGGTCTTCACTGTGTACATTTCTCTTCTTGATGCTTGAGAATGATGAATGTTCATGATTGACATGAAAAATTATTTTATATTCCATTGATATAGCCTAAAGATTTCTAAATGTACCAATTTATGAGATTAAAGTTTTGTAAAGGTTTCACGTAATCAGTTCTTCTATAAAATGGTTTGTCTTACTATTGGGAATAAAAATATGACATTTTCTGATTTTTCATTACCCTTGTATTTTTCCTGTTGTGTCATTTCTGCACTCATAAGGTCCTTGGCTTGTAGGGTTAAATTAATTCCATTATGTAGGCTAAACTGTATGGCCATCATCCAAAACACATTAATCCAAAAGCTATAGGCTACTACACCATTCAAATATATGGTTCGCTCAACAAGAAAAGAAAAATATGTAGGCTATTAATGTACCGACAAAAATTTGAAACATTATATTTCAATAGTCCTTGCCATTATAGGAAAAACCTGTGTAATAGAGGCAGAATTCATACTAAATTTGTGTTTGTGTTTGTGTGATTGGTCACTGGAATAAAATGCCTTAATTTTCAGTTTACAGTAATCTCTTATCCTCACAAGAATGTTCATTACAGTTTGGAAAGGTTTTGGGCCCCGGATGGAAACTGGCAAGTGTGGAACTTATGACTTTGCTCTTGTTACTTTGACCCAGAAAGATCCTTTTCCTATTGTTTCAGTTGTAGCTTTAGCTCAGGTGAAGAGTGGTTGTTTCTTACATGTACTCTCAAATAGAAACAATGAATAACTTTAGATCTCCTGTTTAAACCCAGATTAATTACTCCAACAGTGATCCTTGCATTCCATAAAGCCATGTGCTTCTTACATGAAGTCTTAGAAACTATTATTCCTCAAGTTCTGATGTGTAATAAAATTGAGGCCACAATATACCAATATTCTGAAATAATTCCAGAAAAGAGTCCATGTTAACTCCATGTTTAGAGCTGGAGAAATGTCAAGATAACTTGATCAATAAAAACAAACTCAATCTGTGATTTTTTTTTTCATCCACCCCATTTGGCATACCTTTATTGCAATTGGAAATCGTTAATTTTGATGTTGTATTACAATTTGCTTTTACAGTTTTACTGTTTCTTACTAATGATAAAAAAAATTCTGAATCATGAAGAGTTTGAATATGTTCTATGAAAGCAGTAAATTACTGTTTTGAAGCTTCAGATATAAACATATTCTAGGATGCGGCTCTTTCTACAATACTTTGGTTAGTCATGAACCAAAACACTCAAGCACACAAAACTGATTTTAGCATCTTGTGGGTTTATGGTAACCATAAGAGCCTATGGTTATGACATTAAACACGCTCACATATGTTGTGGCCTTTCCTTTCCAAAAACAACATCGCTGTTTGCTGACTTTTTCATCATGTCATTTAAAGAAAGCAGCAATAAGGAACATTTCTGGACTCATTGAAATGTGATTACTAAACTGAAAACAGCAACGGGAAAATCTAGTGGAATATGACTGCGCCCAAAACCGCATTATTTTTGCCCAAGGATAAGCTTTCAACAGGTATTCACATGAAGAATTAATTTGCTCATAAGGTTCCCAGATAAATACTGTGTTGCGTGACATTTTGGAATAAAAGAAGGACCATTGTTTAGATTTCAGCTCTTTGAAACAATGACATGTTTCATAGAACCAACTATCAAATATTTATCTTTTCATCGATTAATGAAGGTGTGGTGTTTACTTGTGTGTGTGTGATGCCAAATTGTCACTTAATATTCTTCATGCTTTCATCTCCCACTGTGATTAATTCAAACACTGCTCTCATGTAACCTCTCAAGGGGATCCTTTACTTCCTGGTGGCTCCTGTGGGTGGGGCTTCATGAATGGTTTCCATGTGGACTGAGGTGGCCTGATCTCACACACTGACATTCTGAACTCTGATTGGCTGAAATGATGACCTTAATAAATTCCATCTTGGAAATAGTGGAGTCCTCCTGAGAAATTAAGGGCTTTGTGCTGAGAGTGCCAGTGTTGGGATTTAGTAAAGCGTTTTAGAGCTTGTTATCTGCACAAACACAGAATCCACATACCACACATGGTAAAACAATGTGATCCTATAAGAGTCTCAACATCTCTGTAGCTCATACTGCAGTCAGGGCCGTCGCTGAAAGGTGGTGATAATCATAGGTCAGGGGGCCTATAATTGGTCATTATACAGATTGGGGCGGGCGGGCCCACAAAATCCAGCAGTTATACTATATAGGCCCCTGTTGTATGAATAATTCGAATATTTACATTAGTTGTGTGCCTGAGATTTAAATGAAAAGCACAAAAACATGCATTTTTTTCCCAAATATCTGCTTCTCTTCCCTCCCTAAAAATGTTTTAGTCCGATCTAAAGTATTTATTTATCAGTGACAAACATCAGATGGACCAAATAAAATGGTAAGTCCCAGCTGTCCCACCCCAGCTCGTGAACAGAAGTAATCAGAGTTGAGGCGGCAGCTGCCTGAAGTTAACAATGAACTTGGTGGAAGAGCAGGAGACTAACTGACGGGGAAAAGAAAACAGAAATCAAGGTACCAGAAACGCCATGAAAAGAAGGAGAGGGAGGCCAGGAGAGTTGTTGTATCCCAGTCGAACAAAATGTTCTTAAAAACAGGTTGCTGTTATTTTGCTGGGAATAAGAAAACTACCGTCTACAGCCTGCCGGGTACTGTCACTTTTCATTATCGGTGCGCAGCGCACCACAATCGACCGAATGATTACGTGGTCAAAATTCCTGTCTTTTTACACTATTGTAAATAGAGTTAAAAAATGTACACGAGTCACGACGCATTGCATTATGCGCCTGACCTGCCAGCTGATGATGTAGGCTATTTATTTCATCAAGAAAACACAAATACAACACACTGCACTTGGATGAATACAATTATTAGATTTATTTAATAATATTACCAGTTCCATATGATCTTTATTAAAAAATAAGACAATAAATTATTTTATTTTTTAAATTTGACCGCATTCTTGTCAATTTCTAAATGTTTACTTTTTGATTTATGAATTATTACACACTGATGGGAAAAAAGACATTATTTTGCTGTTACTTTTTTAAAATTGGTTTTATTATTATTTAACAATTTCTTTTCTTTTTTTTTGTTAGTTTTTATTAGTTGTAATTTTTATATAAACATTTAACTTTTAAAATAAAGCTTTTGCAACAACATCACCCTCTTCTGTTATATGTGGGCCTCCATGCTCATAATATATTGTACGGTATGATATTGGTGGAGGGTGGTGGGGGCCCACATCAAAATTTTGTCAGGGGGCCCCGAATCCTCTAGCTACGGCCCTGCTGCAGTACATTTTTTCAGTCTAGAGTCAACAAGTGTAATATTTGGGGGAAAAAGTCAAATCATTAGTTACAGAGAAGGACTGGAGGAAAGATTTTAATTACACCGCCAAGAAACAGTTAATAATTGGCACCACAACTAATTCCATCTTCTCCCAATACTTAAAGAATCCTTTTATTATCAGGTTGTGTATGAAAGTTTTCAGTCTTTGCTGAAGTAAATATCTGAGGAAGCACATAATATTTAACAGTAAAATCAAGTGCCAGTGATAATCTATGAAGCAAAGTTTTTGCTTTTTAACCCAAACCTACTCACTACAAAATGAGCAGTGTGGAGCATTTGAAAAAGTAATTTGGAGAAATCATTTTTGAAACCACAGAGTCAAATCTATCATACTTTGTGTTGAGATAACAGTATGAAACAAAAGTGTTCACTAGCACATAATTCACCCACGTATAATATATACAGGATGGGGACATATCAATTTTACATTCTATAAGTTATAAAGTTTTGTAGAAACTGTGTGAGTTTTTTGTCATTTACACTATACTGTTCAAAAGTTTTGTTTTTGAAATAAGTATCTATGCTCAGAAAGGCTGCATTTATTTGATCAAAAATAAAATACAGTCATATTGTGAAATATTATTTCAATTTAAAATAACTTTGTTTTTGTATGCTTTTATTTGAATACATTTTAAAATGTAGTTTATTCCTGTTATGTCCAAGCTGAATTTTCAGCATCATTACTCCAGTCTTCAGAGTCACATGATCCTTCATAAATCATTATAATATGCTGATTTGCTGCTCAAGAAACATTTCTTATAATTATCAACAGTGTTGCTGCTTATTTTTCTCAGGACACCGCAATAACTTTTTTCAAGATTCATTGATTAATAGAAAATTCCCAAGAACAGCATTTGTTTGAAAGATATAGCTGAATAAATCTTACTGACACCAAACTTTTGAACAGCAGTGTATGTTTCATTGGTGGTGGTTGAGGAGATTCCCCCCTCTATGTAAAGCGCTTTGACTGCCAAGAAAAGCCCTAATAAATGTAATGAATTATTATTATTATTGTCAGGGACTTTTTCATTGCATTAAATAGATAAATGGGACTTCGTTGAAGGAGCATTTATTGAAATATTATCTTGTCAGGTGTTAACTCCCTTACTTATCAGTATCACTTCTTCAGTTTTTAATGTGTGAATTAAGTACTGTAAATGCATTTAAGCTGGAGTATAAATTATTTTCAAACGTTAACATGTATGAACGAGGAAATAATCTCAAGCACTTTTATTAAGAAGAAAAACTGCACTTGATAGGTCAAAATAGGCTGAGTAAACCTAAAAGAATTTGTAAAACAATACTGCCATCTACTGACAATTTTTTGATTAAAAAGTATTATTTTGAGCAAGTGAAACAAAGTGAGGAACAACATAAGAATTCAAAAAAACATTGATATAGTCCATTACATTTTATTTTCATAGTCTCTATTTTGAAACAATGATTCAAGCTAAACAACCAAATTCTGTTAAAGAATCAATAGATCAAACATCACAGAATAAATAGATCAAACATCACATCAAAACCATCAAATAACCTCCTATTCTCCAATACTGACACTACTTATTCTCAAACCATAAATATGTAAAGATAAACACAAATGAGAAAATATACATGAGAAAGCTGAAGATCAGATAAGGACTTAAGGCCCTTGCACACTGAGTCCAAAATTCGCGTTCGTCACGTTAAAAAATAAATACGACCTCACGTTATGTCAATCACGCTTGCACACTGCCTCCGAAACTTTCGTCCGTCATAAAAAAAGCTTTCTGCGTTTTTCGCATCCGTAGCAAGCAGTTTGAATGGGGTTTGAATGGTGTTTTGACAATTCAGAGCCACCGAATCACGAATACGAAAAAACGCATACGAAAATTTCGGCCTCAGTGTGCAAGATCCTTTAAACTAACATGAATAAGCACAAAATATGAACTATTTCTAATCATTACCACCACACAGGTAGAGCAGGGCCTTCTGGTAATCTCCGTCAGTGTCTTCCTAAAAATATGTACAAAAGCCATGCTAAGATTTCTCTGTCTGAGAGAGAATATGTGTGCGTCTGCGCATAACTTGCCTGTATGGTGCTATAGAGTGATTCTCCATACTTCTTCTTGTATATCGCTCTGATGTCCAGCATATCTCGCTCACTCCTTGACACCATGATTCTTATGAGAGTCTCATCATCAGTGCCGGCACGCTGTAAATAAACAAACCAATAAGGTGTGAAATCTGCTGTTTCATTATCATTCACATCAACACATTCATTTACTAAGCAGGCCACAAGTTGTTTTTATTTTTCCACTTGAAGTGTCATCGTTTAATAATCCAAAATGAGCATCAAATGATCCAATTCATGATTGTCAGAGGGTGGAAATTGATGAGAATCTCATGGAAATAAGCCTTCATCATACCCGCATTGACTCTCGAAGGGTTTCAGCAAAATAAGCAGGCACGCTTTTTGCACACTTAACTGAGTGGAGAGAGAGAGGAAAAAATCAGTTTTAAATTTCAGTTAAAAGGGTTTTACTCACCCACATGTTGTTCTTAACCTGTATGCTGTTTTTAGTTATGCAGCTCTTGTCATGCAACTACAGTTAATAGTGACCATAAAAGCACCATTATTAGCCTGTCTCCAAATTAATCCCTTTCATAAAGAGCAACATTATCAGTAAAAAAAAAGTCAACTTTAACAACTTACTTACAAAATACTTTCCTTTGCATTTTCTTGGATCTCTTGATCATCATAGTTTGCCTTTTTATTCTTGCAATTATAGGTGAACTACTCTTTTAATTTTCATAGTAGAGTTATGTTCAGTCCATCCAAATAGCAAAATCAGGTTAACTTAATCCTGTACGTATAGCCATACTGCAGGAATTTTCATACCCACAGCCAGCAGCAGTGCTTCCAGGTTCCCAGTGCACTCATCTTTTAAGCTCTCTTCAATGTCACAGCCGGCAATCTTTTTGTAGGCATCAAACACTGAAACAAGAACACCAAAGCCATTAGGATGGCCCTTCAAGGCCATTCTGAATGCATTAAAAGGCTTTGAACACACATATACAAACGCGCACCTTTTCTCAGATGTTCTGCACTCCTATTGCCAAGTATGTTGATGAACTTGTCCTCGTCCGTGCCGAATTTCTCCTCTCCGGCAGCAAACAGCTCCTGAAATACAATCAACAAACAAACACTTCTAAGGTTCGCAACTTAAACCTGAGGATCTGGTTACGTCTTTTTTACACCAACATACATACGCAACTCTAATGATTCATCAAATACCATTGGGCACAATTTATAACAAGAGATTCAAAACTTAATTTTGTGAAACACAAAAGTTGCTAAGCACAAAGTCCAAGCATGTGTTCAGTATAATAAAAGCGATACAAAAGCACCATACAAGCTCAGACAAAGCTATTGTATGGTTTCAGAAGACATGAAATATAGTGAATAATTCATATGGGCTACTTTTATGGTGCTTCTTTGTCTTTTTTTGAGCTTGACTGTATAAATCACCATCCACTTTGAAAGGAAACAGAAGCTTGTATATTCTGCCTATGAGAGTGAGTAAATCACAAAATTGTGTCTCCCAAAAATGAAAATGTATTTTCTTTATTTTGTCATACAGGTTTGGAATGACACGGGGTATAGTAAAATACAGAATCGTCATTTTTGTGACTGTTTTGAACTTTACCTTGGCATCTTTTTCCACTCTGCTCTCATCCACTCCCTCATCCCTGTTTGCCTGTTATAGGAAAAGAAACATAACCAAGGTGAGAGAACATCAGAGAAACATCAGCCCTCCTCCACCCACCACTTATGCTGGGACTGGGTGTGGAATTTCCCCTAACCTGTTAAACTCTGATATTGAATTACCTACACTTTACCCCTGAGAAACATTTAATCTTTTCCACAACATTAACTCAAGAGCTGTTTTAATTACTTAAGGATGACTTCAAGGGTGCTCGTGTTATCATTCTAAGAGGAAGATGCTCGGTTTCATTTCTTTACCTTTTTTAGAATCTTCGCCTCTTATCTCTGATCCTATTCAAGACGATGACCAAACTCATATATCACAGTATAAGTCATTTTATATAGGCTCTTGATAATGATTTATTGATTGGAAATAATGGAAATTATTATATATATTCTGTCTAGAGAATGTGCCATCCTACTGCTTAACACTTAACATTAGCCTCTCTATTCAATTTCCTTTTAAACTGAGAACCCATTGGCTTGTTTTCTTTTACCTGTACAAGGATCACCAGCAACCTCTGGTAATGTCCTGATGTATCACCGATTATGTCTTTTTCCAGCTTGCCTCCATGTTCTAGGTCAAGACACATGAGACAGGGTCTATTGACAGTTCACACTTATCTCGACAATTGCTGCTTATTGGTCTGAACTGAGTCTAATTGGAAGTGATCAGTTGTAACAGTGATGCCCTGCAGTAATTATGATCAAGTCCTCTCAAATATCATCAGATCTGTGCTCCATATTTGTTTGTTTGTTTGGTTGCCTGTTTGTTTGCAATACAGACAATAAGGCATATTTGGGTAAGGGAAACCCACAGCTTACAATGGACATTTACCAAAAGATTGATCCTTACCATTTTAAATGAATTATTTTCAGTGTCCAAACTAAATATAAATGAGCGAGGTCATGCATCAACCTTGCAATGGTGAGATATTTTAAATTCAGCCTAAACCTGTGCCTGCACAATGAATATTACCTTTCTTGTAAGCTTTGCTGATATCTTTTATCTCATCACATGTCCTGGATGCCAGAATCTCAATTAAAACTTGGTCCTCAGTACCTACTCCCTGTAAGTAAATAAAAACAATAAAAAGATAACCAATCAGCTCAAGTGTATCATAATGGGAAAGCATTTTCATAACAATTTGTTTGTAATTCTTTCTTTTTTACTTTTTCTAATTTTAATTATATCCCATAGATGATGAAAATGTTGTTGACGTTACCTTGATGGCCTTATGGAGTTCATTTGCATCATATATTGCGGGTGGAGCCATGAGGGCCACAATGAGATCCTCTAGCTTCCCTCCAAGCTCAGATCGTAAGTCTTTCCCTAGATCCTGTAGAAAGGGACAACATGAGAGAAATAAAGAGAGAACATGAACCATGAAACAGAAGAAAATATAATGGCCATTAAACTGATGATGCAAAGCTCATTAGCATTTTAACACCGCTTTAGATGTTCATGTCAGCACTGAATTATATCAACATCAATAAATGGGTGTGTGCAAAACGACGGACAAAAAGAAAAAAGTAATCTAGATGTACTGCTATTGATGCACAGCAATATTCCTAAGCAATTGAATGGAACAACAATCATGTTTGACTACATTTTGTCTTCATTTTGAACAGCATTTCTATTGTGTTATCATTTTAACCCTACTTTCCAAATGTATACTTTATGTATACGAATGTATAGAGTTAAAAGACACATCATTAGATTAAAAAAATTGATTATTTGTGGTCTGGCACAAGATAATAATGTAATACACTCACTCACCTTGCCATGAGCTTTCTTATAGGCTGCTTTTATTTCCTGTCGCTGGTCATTACTGCGAGCTGCCAGTAACATGAGGATGGTATCTTCATCAGTGCCTGAAAACAAAGCATCCACACCAGCTTAGACAAGAGGACAAGAGTGGGAGATTGTGTAGGTGTGAGCTTAAGATGGTTTACTTCTGTCCACTGACCATTCAAAATCAGCAGGAAAAAACACCTAGATCAAACAAATGGTGAACTCTCTAGTGTGTTATAAAGGTCTGATTTGTTTAACTCACCAATTCCTTTCATGGCCTTGCGCAAAACTTCTGCATCATGCTTTGCATTGAAGCTCACAAAGGGTTTCACACTGCCTCGGGTTGCCTGCAGAAAATACAAAACCAAAATGAATGTATTCCAAAAAATATACAATTATAATACCAGTATATAATATTAATGGAAATTGGCGTCATTCTGTTCTTCACAACTAAACTGCATAATGTGTCAGGTTAACTACAAATATTATTTGAATATTCAACAATATTCTTAGTATCATAAATTATTTGCAGCCCTTGCTGGTTGTCAAATATATACTCACATTAGAAAAGATAGCAAGTTTTTAAAGTTTGCAGGGCAAAATATTTTTTATATTGAAACAAAAGCAGAAAGTCAGGTTTGGTATTTGCAGGGTTTTGTTATTTTTACTGTGGCTAAATAGGAAAATGTCACACAAAAATAATTAAGCTACATAATTCAAGACAATAAAAAAATCTGATGACATCTGGAGCGGCTGAGTTCTGAATGGATTAGCCAGCGCAGGTGTTTGAGAATATGAAACATCAACCTCATTATTAAAGCTGCATGCAATGCCTCATGTCGTTCATCATTATCCTATGGAAATACTAAATATACACCAAATAGCAGACAAGTGATCATATGAACCAATAATTCTGTATCAAATAACTGTGCTCTCAGTCTCTAGATGACCTTTCAAAGGCTGGAAGCAACCAAATCCACAGTTCTTGTTAGCAATGTGATTGTAATCTTTCTGGTAGCCACTTAAAAGCTCTGTAAACAACATACATACACAGAGTGTCTGTAATCCATACACGACTGATTAAAGATAGACCAGGACTATGGCTCAGGTTAATGATAGTGCTGTGGTGAAGGATGAGATAAGGTATAGGGTTTGGGTTTGGGATTCAAGTTCAGGTGGAAGGTTAGGGATCAGTTAACCCTGAGACCTCCAGTCCAATTCGATACCAAAAGCAGTAGCTTTAATCTTTCCTTGCTCCCATGCTTTCTATAATGAAGTGCTAAGAAAGCACATGTAGGATTATGTCTTGGAATTATTCGATCTTGTAAAACTGCCTGTGCCATAGCATTAAAGTTTTAAGAAACAACACACGATATCAATATGCCAGCCCAAGCATTACTAATCCTTGTCTATGTACTAAAGTATAGGGGTTTACTTGGTTCTGGCAGGAGTGGAATGATAAAGCCGCAGTTACCTATTCAGTGGATTTCCTCATACAGGTCTCATCTGCTGTAATTCAATCATCCATCACCATCCATGCCAACATGGATCTAATAACTTAACTCATGTATCCTTATTTATGGGGATTAATGTACGTGAAAAACAATCACATTTCACATTTTTTCTATATTTTGATGACACTAATGATTATCACAGTCGTTATACTACTTGTTTTTGTAATGTTCAACCGATAAAAACCTATAACAAACATATAAGACCGGAGTTAAACACGCAAAACAACACAAGACCAAGTCCTAAAATGAGCCTGATAAAACTCATGTAGGCTATCTAAATCATTTAAAATGTTAATGTTAATACAAATGCAACTCCTCACTTACCATTTGTGCAGGTACAGGAAGCACAATGTGAAGTTCTGAAAAGAAAGAGTAGGCTATTAGGAAACGTTATATCAGACCAATTCAGTAGGCTATTTACGGAAACTACTGTGAAATTAATCGACATTTAAATAGCGAAATGACTGAAAGACGCTACATACATAACATAAATTACAGTAGGCTACGTCATCTATTCAGGACAGCGAACGTACCTGTTGAAGCCGCGGTGTTGATGTATTCTGTCACCTGTGCGCGAGAGGTCAGACTTCTGGCGCGTCAACAGCGAGGGAGTTGTAGCAGGATGTAGGACACGCCCACAAAAACAGCTGTCAATCTTAGTGACTGACGTGGAGAACACTGTGGGCTTAATATTCTTTTTACGTGACAAACTTTATATTTTTTAGCATTTAGTAGATAAGACGCTATAAAATATTACTGGTCAAAACAAGTATAGGCTAAATAGTCATAGAAATGACGAGGGCACCGTTTTAAACTGTTTTACATCAAAACTCCAAACGTCCACACATGCGCACTTCTTGCACTTCCTAGCCTTGGTTTTCAGAAAATATACGCTCAAATACTACAGTTTTCACTCTCTCGTTATTGAATTTCAACAGCATGTAGGTCTTTATGCATCACTGAATAATTAGGCCTATGTAATGTTTTTTCATTATTTTTTCTGAAAGACATGGCCATTTTCACAACAATGTAATTTCCATCACATGAATTGTGTATTACATTTAATATCATTCTGCAGTGGAAATTACACTTTAAACATTTTTTAAATAAAATGACTCTTGTTTCAGATAAGAGCTCTCAAAATGGTTATGTAATAAAATAATTATCAAATTACTTATGCAATAATATGTCATATAAACTATTTTCAGTGTTTTGCGTACTTTGACAAAATTGTATAAATAGCAACTTTTGACAACTTTATTAACTGAAATTGTTGTTTGTGTGTGGACTAAAGATATTATCATTGTTTAAGATGAAGTTCAGATGATGTTTGTCTTTTCTTCATGTCTTTTCTTGGATTTGAACTTAATCAATAGTTTGAATATTATTTATTATATATCATTTTCAGGCTGTGACAGAAGTAATAACCAGAGCACTGAACAGCCCTCTCCGAACAGTGAATGATGGGCAATAATAGAATTATTGCCAGTGCCTTCCTTAAAGAATTATGCTTTTGCCAGTGACTTTTAATGAGATGCTTATTTTATTTATAGTACATCACTTCAACACAGCAACGTATTTTTGCTGTGTTGAGGTAATTTAATAAATCATGCTCATTGCTGCAAAATGGATTGTGACTTGCCAAGCAAGCCATGAACATTCATATTTATATAATTATTAGACAATTACTAATGCGTCAGTGGCAGAAGTGCACTTAAGTTCAGTCATACCGTATGTAAATATCACTCATCAAATAGAAGAACCCTGCTGTTTGTGTTTGTTTAAACTGCTCAAGTATGCAGACAGTGGTGTGAATTTAATTTTCTCCCTTGCCTCACACACATAAACACACGTGTCTTCTGTGAACGGTGGAATAAAAGCAACAGAGTTGACTTCATGGATGAAGATTTTATTTACTAGACCACTGATTAGAACATTACAATATCACTCTGAGTGGTGTCTTATGACTGCTCCATGCACACATATGCAAATGCATGTTTAGACAGTGCTTAAATCTTTCATCCGTGTGCAGATCAAGGTGTGAACATTGACAGTTAGTTAAACTTGGTTAGCTTTTTTTTTGTTTTAACAACATTTAACATTTTGAGAGACATATTATTTTCTCCGTCTCAATCATTATGTTTATTAACTTTATCCACCTCACTCAGTCTGCCAAAGAAACAACAATAAAAGGACCACAGAAAGATATGCAAGGACACAGGGGGAAATGATGTAAAAATTTGCCGCTTTCTTTTACAAAGCTATCAGAATATTTTGTAACACAAACATTATGTTTGACCAGTATTGAGTGTGACAGGTCCCTTTGTAATTAGCAATTCCTAAAGGAATTAAGGGTTGCGTCATGGAAAGTCATTTTTCATTCAAGACATTTTCTTAATATGCAACATAATTGATTTCACTCTTTCATTCATAAATTACCCTCTTCATGCCAAGGACAAACAGTAGGGGGAAAAAATCTATTCTGAAAATATAAGCAGAAATATTGACTGACTTTTCAATAATCTTTTTTTTTTTTTAAATGTGTGTGTGTAATTTTGTGAGTGAATATATTGGTGTTCTAATATAAATTGAATTAATGTTATTAAAACTCTGCATAGTAAATTCATTTTTGTGTATCTGTGTTACAAAGAACTGATGTCAGAATAACAATTTGATATTTTGGATTTGAATCCTTAGAGAAAATGTGCGCTTCCTAAACACAATTGTGTGTGCTGGAACATAAGCATCTGCATACGCAATAGATGAAAGCCAGTAAATACATCTCACATTTCCTTTGCAAAGCTTTAAAAATCCTCAACACTGTTTTGCATTCTTTCATCACTCCCATGCACTATATTTTTCAGTCACATCTTTGATTGTCCGGCTGTTTCAGAAATCAGAGCTGAATCTTTATCCGACGTTTCTCCCTCAGAACACTTGACGTCTGCAGGAACCCAGATGTGGCTGAAGGGTGCTTTTGCCTACAGAGTTCCCGAGCTGTTTCATCAGCATCCACAGAAGAAGTCCCATCAGAACCAGCAGGACTGTGAAGAGCCCCACATACACACTTAGGTTCCAGCCCCATCCCGCTATGAGAGGCAAGGATGTGGACGCCACCAGGAACCTCCTTGGGGAAGGCATCAGTTGCAATAAAATTGCATTAAACTACTGCAGCACTTCAGGGAATCCTCTGATGAAGCCAGGTGATATGTAACTTGGTTTGCGAGATTTATCCATGACAGGTTCTTGATGTCCCGCTGTCAAATCTTAATTTGTAATCCACAAGGAAGCATGCTTTGTCTCTTTGGTGTTGTGCAAAATGAGAATGATGCTTGAAGTCCTCTCTGCAGCTGCACCCCCTCCTGCTGTTGTTGAGTCACATCCACTCCCTTCATCCACTGTGTGTGTGTGTGTGTGTGTCTGTGACTATATTGTGATGATCAAATGTCCCTAAAATCACCTACACTATATGGTGCAACAACGGATGAAAACGTAAAAATTCAGAAAGATTTGTTTGAGCGAGGTCATAAATAAAACGAATAAAATATGAATAGCCAAAACAACAGAGGTCAATGGAAAATCCCCATCATGGGAAAACAAATGTATGTTTTGCTTTTGAAAAAGCATCCACAATGGATCGATATTAAACAGCCTAAAATGGTTTGCTGGTCTTCACTGGTCTCCCAACCCACAGTCAGACTGGTTTGTCAGCAGAGTTCTTCCTCCTAGTTTTATTTGGGCTGTATCCACAAAACATACAAGCTTCAATAACAAACTAGGCCTACATAAAATTACAACTAAAAACATGTGAATGAATTAGTTAATGAATATTCCTCAGGAATAAAATATCCTCCTACATGAATAGACTTTTGTACTCTGTAGTGGACATTATATTTTAGTGAATTTCTATGACAACATACATGTCACCGTCTGGATGTCCTGTAAAGAGCACATTCATGGCTTTTCAGAGATACCAAATGTTTGGAGGTTTCACAATGACAACAACTTCTCCTTGGTCCTTAAAATGACTGACATCATAAATAGTCTCTGCTGACATTCATTTAGTGATAAAATTTTGCACTCTTATGGAAATATCATTGTGTAATTATTATTTAAATCTGACTAATTGTCTAATTGTTTGTCATTCATCAACATCTCATGGGTTATGTGTTTTTTAATCAAAATATGAATTTCTGTTACAAAACAGGGCATTGATTTCATAGATGTCCACTTCATGTGGACACATCATGTGTATCAGGCATTTTGGGAGAGACGGCAAGTGAACAGGGAAATAAATTATTTACATTTATGCATTTGGCAAACGCTTTTATACAAAGCGACTTACATGGCATTTCAAGGTAGCTACACATTTTAAATTCTTATCAGTTCTTGCTTTCCCTGAATCGGACCCATGACCTTAGCGTTGCAAGCGCCAACGCTCTACAACGCTCTACTCCCTTTATAACTCTTCTTTTTTTCCATGAACACATTAATATGCTAATTGGATAGAGTGTATAGAAACATTGTAGCCTATTTAATGGCTCTACCATCAAATCTGAATTAATGGTATTTATTTATGGCCATTTTACTCACATACTGCAGTAAGTAAAATGGTAGCCTATATATATATATATATATATATATATATAGGCTACCATATATATATATATATATATATATGGTAGCCTATATATATATATATATATTCATTCCGTTATATCTTTCATAACACATCCAGTTGAGAATCATCTTTAAACCAAACCTAAACATTTATTGGTAAATGAAAAAAAAAAATCCAATTGTTTTTGCAATTGTCTTTTTTTCTAGTAGGATATAACTTTTAGTTATATTCTTCCCCTTAGTAAATACTTTCCTAAATCCTAACTTCTTTCTTACTGTAATAAGATTTTCGTGAAACCAGTTTCCTTTATCCACATTTCAAGACTGTATTATCAGGTTTTTAGGGTATCAGGAAAAAATAATGTTCAGATAAAATTGTGTTCAAATGCTTCTGACTTGAATTAAAAAAATAAAAAATATTCCCAGTGTTTTGAACAAATCTCGTTGCTGTTACTATGGTAACCAGAGATAGTTTGGGTGGCTGACAAACATGGCGGCGCTACAGAAGAAACGTGTTAGCTGCAAACAAAAACACTTTTGCTGTTGTACTTAGTCGAATTATTGTTTTTATCTGCGGATCAAAGCATATTGTTCGGATAAATGTCTACGAATATGCGGAATGGGGGTTGCTATAACGTTATATTAACGCGACATGAATCATCTTGTAAAGCGGACAAACTGGCACAGCTAACGTTAGCCAGTTCATCTGCAGCAGAATCAGCCACTAACTAACTAATCCGCAGGATAATCCAGTC